CTCAGTTATGTACTAACACTATTGGTAGTTATACATGTACTTGTGATAATGGTTATCAACTCACTAATGATAATCACACTTGTACTGATATTGATGAGTGTACTCTTATTAATAATGGAGGATGTGAACAAACGTGTCATAATACTGATGGTAGTTATTATTGTTCCTGTCTTAATGGATACTCCATTGATGCTAATGGTCACGACTGTACAGGTATGTTATATAAAACTTTTGTGGTCTAATGTACAGTAAATTCAGATATCAATGAATGTGTTACTGACAATGGTAACTGCAGTCATGATTGTACTAACACTCCTGGTTCATATTTGTGTTCTTGTAACAATGGATACAGTATTGATACTGATGGTCACAACTGCTCTGGTATGCACTAATAATGATATCCTCATTGAAATCCTTTCTATTACAGATATCAATGAGTGTGATGCTAATAATGGAGGATGTGAACAGGACTGTATCAATACAATGGGAAGCTATCAGTGTCAGTGTAGAGAAGGATTTGAGTTTACAAGCAATGGAAGAAGCTGCACTGGTAATTTGAAGTTTACATTAATTGTTTTGTTTATTTGCCAATTAATACAGATATTGATGAGTGTGCTGATAAAAATGGAGGATGTGAACAGACTTGCAATAATACTGTAGGTAGCTTCCAGTGTTCATGCTTGTTAGGCTTCACTTTAGCCAATGATGCATTTTGCTCAGGTAAAAAAAGTGAAATTATAATGATTGCATCTTTAACTTTGAGCTCAGATATCAATGAATGCTTATTGGTTGATAACAGATGCAGTCATGATTGTGTCAATACTCCAGGAAGTTACCATTGTACCTGTAAAGGTGGATATTACTTGAGCAATGACAATCATACATGTTTGAGTTAGTTTTCAAAGCTAATTGATTATTATTATTATTTTATCATTATTAAGCATGTGGTTCTGGAAATTATTTAAGAAATGGATCAATTTGTGAAGGTAAAATAAAATTATATTGTATCCTACTGGTTTGTAATTTAATCTTTTTACACTAGCTTTGCCAACTAACATTGAAGCTGTAAGTTGTTTAACTATACTATATCAATAGCTCCATTCCTTGACTTCTAATCTTTGTTGTCAAATTTAGACCAGTGGAGAAAATGTTGGGTCTAACACTGGCTTTCTTTATGGCGCTATTGGTGGTGTACTAATAATAAGTAAGCTATATTAACTTTATACTATGGTCTATTGTGTAAAAAATTGTTTATAGTTATCATCATCATTGTCGTGATGGCTTTTGTTATCATTGCAATTGTTTTAATTGTAATTAAGAACAAAAGAAATGGGCAATATAATGTCAATCAAGAGAATCAAGAGAGATCTATATATAATACATCAAATCCAATGTATAATGATGAGAATGTAGACAAATGTATGGAAGAAAAAGGTGATCTTTATGACTATATTGACTCACCACAAACAGAAAAAAATGAAAAGTTGTATGTATAAGAAATAAAACTATATGTTATAATGTTACCAAATTTAGTACTGCTAGTCTATTTTTGCTATTATAACTGTCTTTTTGCTATTTTAATTCCCTTAAGTCTGTTACTCCTAATACAAAAATTATAAGGTACGCTATTATGCACCTATAGTTGTAGAGCTTTTATAAAAATTGACTTTAAGTGTTTTACTAGACACAAAAATATAATTTAAAAAAAAGTATATTTCATTTTCCATACAACTAAAAATACAGAGCATGCAAAGAATAAAAGTGACTATTGCTCTTCCTAAGGGTTTATATTTTTGTGAGATAAGTGTAAAGGAATGACATTGCTGCCCCTGATAGCAGACCAAAGCTCAGAAAGAATGTCATGATTGTTGATGCAGTTTCCCTGAACTCTTCTTTAACATTTCTGAAAATAATGAATTTACATAATTATTATATTGTCTTACTTTTCCACAAGATTATGGCATAGTGCTTAGTCTCACCCCTTGGAGAAAGGGGTGGGGTGAGACTGCATAGTGCTTAGCTTTGTGGATTTCTTAGAATTTTTTAAAAATTTCTCCACAGGACAGGATAATTTGTCAAAAATGGTTAGGAGAGAATTCTTCATTTTTATATTTTTCTAATACGCATGGATGTACTTATGTAGAAAGTTTGAGCTAGCTGATTCCAATTAAAATTGGATTTTTAAATGAATTTTTAAAGTTGCTCAAAAATCAGACCAAAGTCCCTGTACTATAGTACAGGGTTGATCACAGGTCAATTTTGTCAATATTGAAAAGGAGAGAATTCCCCATTTTAAATTTTTTTCTGATACAAATACACATGCTTATGTTTTGTAGAAAGTTTCAGCTAGATTTCAATCAAAATTGGATCTTTTAATGAATTTTTAAAATTGGACCCAAAGTCCAAATTTGTGAAAATTGAAAAGAAGAGAATAATTTTTTTTTCTGATGCATATAAATATTTTTATGTTGAACAAATATAAATGTTTAAAATTATTCCAAAAACTGTATGGCTGCCATTATAAGGCTTAAGATCATAGACACAAAGTAGTGGCTTTTAATGTAATACTTACTGAGGAGCAGAGACCATACAAACAGAAGCTAAGAATCCATTAGATAGTCCCAGAGCAGTAATAAATAATATAGGCCAAACATCATTGTGGAACAATACATGGAAATGTATACTACGTGGTTGAACATTACACCATAAAAGAAGAGGAACAAAGAGAAACCGTAAGAGAGTTAGAGCTAGCAACAAAAAGCGCCATTTGCCAGTCTACAGTGATAGAAAGACAAGAAAAATTAGTGAAAATGTATATACACAAAATTGAAAAGTACCATCTTAAACCAGTTAGAAAGATAGCGACCAACAAAATCAGAGGAATTAAACATTAGAAAACAAACAAGAGCATCAAACAGCTTCCCTAGTAAAGACACTGTATGTTAGCATGATGCTGTAAGTAATATCAATACCTGTCCAAATAGAAGCATCAGGATATTTTTCAACTGATTTGATGCTGCTTAATACAGCAGGGAACAGAGATAATGTCACAAAAAAAACTAGAAACACGCTAAGAGAATATACCAACACCTGTACAACATAATGATTACAATGGCATAAGTAGGACATAGGGCTTACATCACAGAAAATTTCTTTAAATGGCATATTATCTTTTTTGCTAGTTTTTTTATTAATCTCTGTTTGTGTGGCTAGTGACAGAGTTTGTTATCATCATGAAACACTGATTACATGACTAACCTCTGCTCTGTATGGTTCTCACACTAGTCAAGTTCAAGTAATACTTAACAAATTTCTATAAGCATCATAAATAACAGTAAAACTTTAATACAACTATTTAAAATACCAATTTTAATAGGAGGATGAGCGATGCAAGACAGAGTAGTATGACTACAACAGCAGACAAGAAGTAGAGCAAAGCACTCAATTCAACATGACCACCAGTTGCTACAGTACTAATGATACGTGCAAGTGAAGAGAATATTCCAGCAAAAGCCTGTCATATTAAAAATATTAATTATCAATAATGACAGATAGATCTATACTTGTCCAGACATGACAGCTGCAGTGTATTTTTGAGGTAAAATACCGGCATAGCCAAATGTACTGCTTTGAAACAAGCCACTGAAAACTTTAAGAAAATTATTGATACATAAATGGTTCATTTGTAACTTACCACTCATGAATACAATTGTAAGTAACGTTCCAGCAAAAAAAAGATCAACATCTACAAGAAAATTAAAAACAATAATTATTGAGCTATGATTATAATGAATTTTTCTCACAATTATGTGTCTCCACTTTAACAAGAGCACTTGTCAATACAAAGAGAGCTAGCATCATTAATAGAGAGACAAGCATTCTCTTTCGAAAGCTAACCCTGATTAACGGAGAATGATAATGGGCAGTGTTGTAAATCATATAATTGATAAAATTAATGATACTCACTTGCTTTGTATGTAAATGTTTAGCAAAGACATTAGCATGACTGGTAACATTGAAGCAACGGAAAAGAAGTTTTCAAAGTTTTGTTCAATGAAGCTAGTACAGTGGGAGTAATTGCCAGAGCACTTAAACTTTTCCACGAAATACTATCATAATGAAAGCATGCATAAATATTTTTTAATAATTAAAAACTGAGGCACAAATTATGCAATTTGTTCACACCTGAGGTGTGAAATTGAGGTGCAAACAAGGTGTCAAAATGAACTAAAACTCTAATATTGTGTGAGATCCTTACTTCGTGAGCTGTGATGAACATGTTCCATGGTAAGAGATGGCCAATGCCATGAATGAACAGTATGATATAAGTCAAATAGAACCTGCAAAAAAGTTAACAGCTAATTACCAGTTGATCCATTATAATTATAACGGCTGCTACAAAAATCTATGCATCGAAAGACTGACTTATCCTTAGGCGGTGATGGGCTTCGCAATAGTCTCTCCTCTTCAGAGGTTTCACCGCCACTTCTCATCTCCCTACGACCAGACATTTTAGTATTTTAGAGACAGCAAAAATAAGAACACAGAAAAGAAGATTGTTATAGTATAGATTTATCACATGAGTGATAGTCTAGCATCTATGGTATGACAGACGGAAAGAGGCCGGCAACCTTGTGTAGTGTAAACAATTTGTGAGATAGAGTAAAACTGTAAAAGTATATCTATATATGTAAGCTATTGATTGCAAATACGTGACAATCAGAGGCAAAGTATAAAGGCAGCTACAACAAGAAAGTATTACCATTCTTGCTTACATGCTGTCAAAAATACTTCATGGATTCAGTGCCTCAGTCCAGCAGCCATAACTTTAGGCGTTGGCTTCATTGAATGATAGAGCTAGTGGGCGTAGATCTATTATGAGTATCTAGTAAAAGGTGATAATGTGGCTATGAATAAGCTATCTTCCCAAACAAGGCAGAAAAATTGATAAGATCACACCATGATCACATGCATAATACAGTACATGCCACATGCACATTCAATCATGGCTGCTGTATAAAAAGAACTACACTGTATTTTTGATTCAATAATATATGACATATCCTTATTATCATGATTCACGGTATACAAGGTATTATAGTAAAATAATAATTATAATACAAATAATTATTATACGGTACCTAAATATATAAATTATAATAGAATAGGAAAGGTCTAGTCTGTGAGAGAAAAAATAAAGTGAGAAATGCTATTCATAGTCATTAATTATTATTGTCAGAGAGTCTGATGAGGTAGGTGTACAGGAATGAGAGGAGTGCCCCTATTATGAGACCAAGACACAAGAAGAAGGACATGAATGTTGAAGCTGTTTCCCTATGCTCAGGTGGAACACGCCTAGAGAAGGAAGAAGAGGAGGAGAGAGAGAAAGGAAGGGAATAAATTATAACAATAATGTTTACATAATAAAAGATAAAAGGAGTCACATGTAAACTAACTAAAGGTTCAGAAAAATTTGACCTTTTTGTCACAAAAGCACTTTGAAGTTGACACAAATATTGGTCAGAATTTAATTTAGCATTGCATTCTGTGGTGAGTGTAATTAACCAGGCTTAAACATAACTACAAAATATACTGTTGTATGACAGCATTATAGCAAATACTACTTATCTCTAAACATAGCAGAGATGCCAAGCACTATGACTTATTTACATATATAGACCATAGACACAAAGTGCTGTATTTTAATGTAATACTTACTGAGGAGCAGAGACCATACAAACAGAAGCTAAGAATCCATTAGATAGTCCCAGAGCAGTAATAAATAATATAGGCCAAACATCATTGTGGAACAATACATGGAAATGTGTACTACGTGGTTGAACATTACACCATAAAAGAAGAGGAACAAAGAGAAACCGTAAGAGAGTTAGAGCTAGCAACAAGAAGCGCCATTTACCAGTCTATAGTGATAGGAGAGAGAGAGAGAGAGAGGAGAGTAAAATAGTGACACAAAGGAAGAGAGAGGGAGTGACAAAAATTGATAAAATAATAAATTGTGATAAGAGAGAGAGATAAACTAACCATTTTAAACCAATTGGAGAGATAGCGACCAACAAAGTCAGCAAAATTAAATATGAGGAAAACAAACCAGAGCATCAAACAATTTACCTAAAAGTATAACAACAGTAACAGGACTATGCATGGATATACATATATATGTACATGTACCTGTCCATATGGAGTGATCTGGGTCTTTAACTGATGATTTAATGCTGCTACAAACAGCAGGAAACAATGATATAGTCAGAGAGAAGACTAGACAAACACTTAGAGCATATATTGATATCTACATGTACAATAATGGTACATATTAAAATATGGCAGAATCTCACAGTTTTGAGTATAGAGCAAAAGGGTAGTCTTGCAGCTATTTTCACATTAACAGTGCTTTTTATTGCTATACATGTAGATACATATAATTTAGATATTATGACTATTTTCTTCTCTTACTGTCTTCCTGTCTAAACTTTAGGGCTCTAACACTAGTTAGGTCTAAGTAATATTTGACAAACAGCTGCCAGGATTAGTAGAAGAGGAGAGAAAGGAAGAAAAGTAGTAAAAGGGTATCAAAGAAAATATAGCGTAAAGTGTTTGCATGATGGTTTACTTACCAGTTTCAATAAAAAGAATAACGAAGCAAGGCAGATTATTATGACAACCACGGCAGACAAGAAGTAGAGCAAAGCACTCAATATGACATTAGCAGTTGCTACAGAACTAATGATACGTGCAAAAGAAGAGAATAATCCAGCACAAGCCTGTATTGTAATGAAAATGAAAACATCTTATTCATTATTATTGCTGTTATGCATAATTAGAAAGTAATAAATATATGGGCATTCCCAACTAATAATACAATGGCTGTATAATAATGATACAAATACTATACCTATTGAGCCTTCGAACATGTAAGTAGGAGTAACAATAGTAGTATAATAATTACCTGTCCACTCATGACAGCTGCAGTGTATTTCTGTGGTAATATACCAGCAAAGCCAAACGTACTGCTTTGAAACAAGCCACTGAATACTTTCAAAACACCAATACATATAAACTATTAGGAACAAGCAATGTACTTACTATTCATCAGAACAATGGTAACCAGTGTCACAGAGAAGAAAAGGTTGACAGCTATTGTAGTGATAAAATAATACATGCATGGCTACTAATGGAGTATAAGCTAGTCTTAATATACCTGATATAGTGTCTACCTTCACAAGAGCTGCTGTTAGAACAAATAAGATCAACATAACAAGTAAAGAAGAAAACATCCTATACTTAAAATGAATCCTGGAAGAAAAGAAGAGAGAGGGAGAGGGAGGAGAGACAAAAGAGGAGCAAAAAGAATAAGTGTTACAAGAATGAGATGGTAATAAATCTTACTTGCTCTGTATATAAATATTAATGGCTGTTGTTATCATGACTGGAAGCATGGCAGCAAGTGCAAAGAAATTCTCAAAAGAGTTTCCAATGAAACTAGCACAAGATGAATCCACTAAAGAAGCATTACTGCAACTAAACTTCTTATCAAAATACTAAAAAAATAATAATGCGTAAACACTTGTGTGTCGTATGATGGTGTAAGGTCTTGTTTGGGGAAAGAAATAGTGTCTGTCTATTAAATGGCATAACCCCAACCCAAAACTACATTATTTATGGCTTAGTAGATTTACCATATTGAAACATGCATGCATTCTTTCCTTAGTTTACTTCATACTTTAATTATACTATATACACATGTACAGTGTATGCTTGTGTGTGTGTGTGTGAGTCATTCTTTACTTCGTGAGCTGTGATGAACATGTTCCATGGTAAGAGATGGCCAATGCCATGAATGAACAGTATGATATAAGTCAAATAGAACCTGCAAAGAGAACAAACTAATTATAAGCTATGGTGTTGACGGACACACTAAATGAATATAGCCCATTACTTCACAATGGATTATGAACATAATATTATTATTATGAACATGGATCATTGATTAACCTTTAGATGATTAACCTTTATACTACAAACAATAAGTGCATAATATACTACAATATTAGCAACATGATAATTTTAGGAAAAATAGTAGGCATGCATACCACTGTAGATATACATAATAAATTAATAATGTGATTGATCACACACACACACACACAACTCTCTCTCCTCTTTTAATGGCCGCCACATGTTATCAAACACACAGACATGATAGGAAGCCAGTGAAACCATTGCAGTATTATGATATCATCAATATCATCATGTGATGTTTCTTTAGACTAACAAGATATCTACCACATACAATCAAGACTTGATGAAATAGGAGAATGGTCACCACACAAACTCACACCATGAATACATGATGTACATTTAATTACATTATTTTCACACTTGTACATTTGTATGGGTCATACTCAAACCTGATATACAATCACTCTCCTTTTTCCTTATCTATTCACTCACACATCTTTTGGTATCCTCTCTTTTTGTAATAAAGGATCCTTCTCGTCGTCTCTCTCAGGAGTTGAGTCCCGGCTATGCTGCAACATGACTTTTAGTTTACGAAGCGTCTTTGATGGAGAGAATAGACCTCTATCCATACACAACCAACCGTCTGAAACAGAAAGCTATTACAATGGGAATCTTAGACACGAGGAGTGATAGTAGTAAACCCAGATAAGGCTTTGGAGGCGGTCACGAAACTTAGCAGTTTAACATTACAACAACTGCACAAGAAAAATACATAGAAGAAAAGGAAAAAAAGACACGGCTTGACCAGTCCTAACCACCAAAAAGAAGACTAAACTGGATCAGTCTCTCCTCGGTCCACAGTGTCCAAAGAGAGACTGGGAGAGAGTCTAGAGTAGAGAGAAATTAGGCGGGAAGTTGGGAACCAGGAAATTAATTATTATAGCTGCTAGCCTAGAGGGCGTGGTTGTGCACGCCCAGCTAGCTAGAAGTCGATGTCTCGATGAGTTATGACCTTACTGTGAGTGACTGTAATCTCATGGATCTGGAAGGAGGAGAAACAAGGTCAAGACGCAAAGTTGTTATAAGCAAAGAGCTTAGAGAGATGAGCACACAATGGAGGGAGAGCATAGTAACGGCCGGAAGACAGGAGAGAGTCAGGCTGGGAGGTGCGCGCTATCTCTTGAAGCTCAGTTTTCAAACGGTGCACATCATAGTTGCATTCGGGTTCCTTGTTCTCGCTGTTGTGGAATTTGTTCGCGACCCGCCGTACTTTGATGCTGTTGCCAGCCCGAGACACGCCAACACTACAAATATACCCAAAGACACATTCTATGTAAGTAAAGTACATGTATTTGTTGTATAAAACCACCCAGCTGTGTATTAATTTGTAAGCTTACACAGTCATTCAAAAGAAAACATAAACAACTTAAGGCCTTTTCACACTGGCACAAGTAATGCACATTGATGCGCATTAATCGTGTTCACACTAGAGTGGTTTCAAATTGATGCGCATCACTCTCACTTCACCTCCAGAGGTGGATTGATGTGAAGTGATGCGCTTCGACCAATGTAAACCAATGGCAACAAGAACACAAAATGATACACAATTCAGCTGCTAGTGTGAACACGATCAATGCACATTATTTCAGCTGTATCAACAAAGCGCATCAAAGCGCTTTGAAAACTGTGCCAGTGTGAAAAGGCCTTTAGTCTCGGTGGTGTGATTACATGAGCGTGTGTGTGTGTGTGTGCGTGTGTGTGTGTGTGTGTGTATGCATGTTTGATGTAGCTTGATTGGGGTTGGCATGTAGTCTAGTTTATGCTTGATGTGAAAAGTTCAGAGCTCAATCCTAAATAGCAATATGATGGAACGACTTTTTGTCAATGCAGAATTTCCTGCATTTGGGGGTGTACATTGGAATCGAATGGAATGTAGTCAAATTGTCATGATTTGTGTATGGTGCTTATAGTATGTCAACCTTCCTTTTATACATTTTTATTTTTCCCTTTAGAATTTAACTAGAAAAGGAGCTCCTGGAGTAAGTCAAAGATTTCAATGCATTCATTTGTCATTTCATTTTAGAGCATTCGCCATGTAATGGATCTACCTGTTTTACTCCTCTTTTTGGTGAGTTTATATATATATAATTTATAATTGTAGAATTGAACGAAACCTGCCAGTTTATTGTTCCATTGATTGTATATTTAAATACCTGTACTTTCATAATAATGACTGTGCATTTGCTTTCAAAGATGATCTTAATTGTTATCGGTATCAGTACTTTGCATGCAACGTTTAATAATTAGAGGACATAATAATGCATTTAACCTTTTCATACCTTAAAATTAAGTGTTAATCTATTTCATCTCATCATCAGTTGGTTCTTTGTATCATTTATAGTGTTACTTTGTTGTGATCCTGTGGCGAGGTGCATGGGGCATGTGGTCGGTGATGATGACGCTCTCAATGTTTCTGATACTACTTGTATTTATCACTATTAACTATTGGGCTCACGATGTATTTGACTGGAGGTAAATAAGAGAAGGAGCATGGAATATGTGTGATTTTCTTCTCTTTTCTTTTTATCTCCGTTTCTTTTCCACTCTCTCTCCTTTTTTCAGATTCTTCTCTTCAAGAGGTCTTGGTGTCATCATTGAAGTCTTCTGTTTTGCTTTTGCATGGAATTGCGTTGCGATGGCAACCTTTGTCAAAGTCAATTGGTTTCCGTTTCGTTTTTCTGTTAGTCACTTTTTAATAAGTATGATGATGTAATTATTGGGCCTCTTTTTAGGAAACGCTGCCACAGCGTGTTTCCTTACGTTTTCTACTAGTTTTGTGGAATTTCCTTGCTATCCTTATATTCTTATTCTTCTGTTTACTTATATGGTAAGTTCAAGTTTTTGGACTATCATATTATTATTATTATTATGCGTTCCTTGTATGTAATGTAATGATTTCAAAGTTTTTGTTTATGTTTGAGCTGTATACATGCGTCTATCTTTAGGTTTTCAAGACTGTATTACTCGTGGGTATGTGTTCACTCCATTAACGATGTCCTATTAATGTGTCAGTTCAGTAATCATGTAAGTCATATCCTAGATAAATCCATCAGATCTGGTTTGAATGTTTGTGTTATTGCATGACCTTGCATGATCTTTAATGCATTAAAAAGTACAGTACATGTACATGTGTTCTACCATATATTGGGTATATTTCAATGCATGAAAAGTGGTGTAAATATAAAGTTCAATGATGGAAAAATTTGGAAGCCCTTTATATTCCGAAAATATTTTACTTGCTATTATTTCCATCAACCACCTGGCCTGGTAAGTAAATCGAAGCATTTGCTGACTTCTCCACTTCTGAATCAACCTTAGCAACACTTCTAACTGGCAAAGAAGGCTCTTTATGGCCTTTGAGTTAGAAGCAATGGATAGTTATGAAGCCACGTGTTCATAATAATTGCACAATACCACATATCTTCTATTCCTTTTTATCCGCATAATTATTTTAAAATTTCATAATAGTTATTTTCGCAATGGATTGCTTTTTCCAAAATTATTAATGCATTGAAATATACCCGATATACGGTATTAATTAGTCTTGTCATTAACATGTCAGTTCAGTAATCACGTAAGTCTAGTCACCCTAAATAAATCATCAGATCTGGTTTGAGTGATTGTATGTTATTGATTTTTAATGCATTAAAAAGTATGCTATTAGTCTTGTTATTAATGTGTCCATACAGGTTCAGTGCTATGCTTGCAAGGAGGCAGAGACTTGTACAAATTTAGATATATGTGTGAAAACTGCAAGAACTAAATCAACTTTTCATTGTGAGTCACCATTAGCTGGACTTGAAAATGTTGATGTAAGTTATAGCAGCAGCAAAAATATGTAATTTAATAATATTATCGATTCTATCCCTTTTCTTCTTAGAATGCTTTCTGTATTTTTAATTACAACATTGGGCTCTTCACATTTATTATGGGTAAGATAAAAAGGATGAGAGAATGAGGTGTAGTCAAAGAGACACTAAAGCAAATCACTTTGATAACACATGAGATAATAAAGTGCTGAAATAAACAGAATCAGCTTTAAGATTATTGTGATTAATTTGTTGTTCACTAACTTCACATACATTAAGCTATCATTTTGAGTTTTTGACACTTATAGATTATTTTATTTTTTGTTTGTAGTGTTTGCCTATGTTGGCGGAACCTATTTCTTCTTATCGAATATTTTCAATTTTGCTGTGCAATGCGTCAAAGAAGTGGTTTCATGGTTTGTGAAGTTAATGAGAAGGAAAACTGAGAGACTCTATTCCCATTCACGTGCATTCACTACCAGTTTGGTCAAGAGATCGGGAGGTAATGAACCCAATGATCGTGTAACTGAATATGCCGATGAAGAAGAGATTACGGATGATACTGTTGGCACAGAAGAGAGAAAGAGTTTGCTCAAGTGGGAGGATCAGTCAGATGAAGAAACCACTATAAACAATTAATTGTGCCTTTTTATATATAATGTAGTGTGTGTTTGTCATAATAGATTTTTACATTGATATTATTAATGATCAGTTGTAAACTTTATAAAGCTGAATAATAATAATTTTTAGGAGATTATTAATTTAATTTATTATTGGCCACGCCTCTTACTAAGTTTTGGTCACGCCCACTTCAATGACAAAGACCAGGCTTCTCTTTACTTCATGTCCCAGTAATAGTCTCGTTTCTCTCCTACCCTTACCCGTACTGTCCTCTCTACACATGATACAGACGACATGAGCTCAGAGACTCCTCAGCAACCACTCAATTTCAGGTTCAGCCGGGCTCCAAACGGGTAAGGCCCGATAAAGAGAGAGAGGGAGACTAGTTCATCATTTTCTATCTTACTCGAAGTCTTGGTTTATATTTGTTAGACTTTATTATTCTACTCCACAATGTTCATCGTTACATGTGTTTTCACCATTTGCTATGATAACGATGCATTTAATAATTTAATATGGATATAATTATGTACAGTGGATGTATTGTAAAGGACTACTGGTTGATCATGCTCACATGTGCATGTACATGTAATCCACCCACACTTTTGTGTTTAAGTATTGTGTATATTTATTATTAGTATTATTATAATTATAAGTATTATTATTGGTATATTAGTATTATTATTGTTATTATTATTTGCATTTTATTCTTAGGGTAATTGGGGCACCATCATCAGCTTCTTCCCCCTCCTCCTCCTCCTCCTCTTCACTACCTGATACTCATATTGCTGCCATTAGGTCATTCCTTCATCAAAAGCCTCACCGGATTCAGCAGAGACTCTTAATACGTAAAGTAACATACACCATACTTACTGGACTGGCTATGCTCCTAGCATGGGCCATTGGTTACTGGGGCTGGTCCGTAGTCTTTCTTGTTGGTCTGTTCTTACTGATGACATTCGTATGGAAGGACTTGAGCAAGAGGTTCACTGCAGCTGCACAGCAGGAGATTGAGATGACAGTTAGAAGGAAGAAAGCACTCCAGCTGTCTGAATCAGCAGAATGGGTCAATATGGCCATCAATAGATGGTTGGTGTACCTTATTTTTACATGTGTATCCGTTACTTTCTAATCTTTCTTACTCAAATTTTGAGTTGCATGTATACATGTATGTGTGCATGGGCATAAGAAAGAATACCAATTTATAAATATGGTTTACATGTACATGTATTGTACATGTATTTTTTTTTTACTTTAGCTCTGAAAAGATTCCCAAATTTGTGTTAATTCTATCAATTTCCTCCTCCTTTGTGTGTTTGCTCGTTGAATTTATTTTGTTTTTTTTTAACTGATAGTCTTTCTCACTCTTCCTTGCTAGGTGGATGACGTGCAATGAGTCTGTATTTGGTTTCATTAAGGACTACATTGAGCCACTGCTGCAAGAAGTAACTCCTCGTGGAATTGGTAAGTGGTAACAAGATCAACCTTGAGTTTACTAATTGCACTCAGCTATCAATGCACAGTTGTAATGTACGCATCATGCAAACTCAAACACATATAGTTCATGTACATAGGAAAGTCAGGAATACTTGTTTCTTATCTAAGTTGTTTTTTTATTCTTTTTCTCTCCCTCTCTCATCCTCTATCTCTTTCCTTCCTCTTTCCTTCCTCTCATTTCTCTTTTCTCTTTCTCTTTCCTTCTCTCCTTTCTCTTCCTCTCACATTTCACACATTCTTTCTCTCTTTGACTTGTAATTTCAGATAACTTGGAGCTGATAGAATTTGATCTCTCTAATCAGACTCCCTTTGTTAAGAGTATTCATGTTTTTGATCCTCCATCAAGTCTCATCAGTTCACTGCTCCCTACTGACAGTAACATATTACAATCAAGCACTACTAACAATAGCAGCAGCAGCAATGCTAATAAAGCTTTCATTGTTGCTAATGTTGATGTTGGACTGGTAGCTCCTGACAGTAAGCTTGTATTGAAAGCTAGAGTTGGTGGGAAGAGGTACACCTTTCACAGCTGCATGCACATCCATATATAGTACATGATGCATGTATAAATTTGACATTTACATGTACATGTACATTGTTGTATCATGCGTGTTCATTGTTTAGTGTTTATTGTTATGACCTTTTCCCTTTAAGATATCAAGTGAGTCATTAATTGTGACTTTATAAAAAAACAACCTTGCACGTATAGTTATCAGTTCTGTTTAATGGTTACCTCATCCTTTATGATCAGTTGCTTTTTCTTTGTACATGTAACTTGAATCGCTTGCCAATACTGTAGTACTAGATTATGTACTAATGATTGTCATTTAGTTTTACTATTGGCATTCACTTACTATTGGTATTTAACTATTCATTTACTATTGGTATTTCATCTCTCACTTTACTCCTACTATTCTCTTTCCTTCCCCTCCACTCTCTCTCTCTCCTTCTTTAGAATTGGTTATGATACATTGGTTCATATTGAGGGCCTCCACTTGTCTGGTAATGTTCAAGCTATTTTACTATTTGATTATGAGGCTCCATTCCCACACGTTGGATGGATATCAGCTACTTTTACTAGAAAGTTAGTATACATGTACTAGTTATATTTGTTCATGTACATCAGATTATGCTGTGTAGAGCTTTTATTTTGTTGGTATAAATTTTCGCAAATCTTACCTTCTGCAGCCATTTTTCCTAGTGTGCCACACCTCTTTTATGGAATTTAATTTTAATGGTTTCATTTTGACGAAAATGCAGAATTAGCAAAAGATTTATTTCCAGTGAAATATAACCCCTATACAATACTGTGCTTGAGTAGCCTACATGTAAGTAGTAATGCACATATTTACATTGTATTTGTAAATTTTCTTTATGTCAGCCAGTTAGAGATTATAAGGTTTAGTGCTAATATTATGCATATCTATAGTATTAGCTGTTGTTAACACTTTTGGCTGCTGTGTGTCTCTGTGTGTGTTGAGCTGTTTAGTATTGGCACTATTCCAGGTATTACATGCCAATTTTATTTGAGGAATTGTACGCCAAATAATACAAAAAAGCAATGCTTTTCTTACATTAAAACTAAAAGCATTTTTAGACACATTTTAATTAAAATTAGTTCAATTGTTGTCTTGCCTGAATGAGTTAATACAGAACCAATCCTTCCTCTTTTAGGCCGGAGCTATGGTTCTCCATTAGAGTATTGAAAGGACTCAAAGTGACTGATATCCCGATAGTTAAGAGCTTCGTTCACTCACTCATAATGAGTATATTCCAATCATGTAAGCACAATGAATATTAATGAGTTTATAGTCTAGGATTGGAGCGAAATACTTTGAAAAATACTTAAGTAAATTCCATAATACATTTACAAAATACTTATACATACAGCTTTTATTACTAGCATTTAAATATAAGTACAAGTACCAAAACTATGTACTTAAGTGCACTTAAGTACAAGTACCAAAGTACTTCACCCCAACCCTGGTTTATACACGTATTTTGTATCATTTCTCTTTATGTGTGATATTCACTTGTTTCTAGTATTGGTTGATCCAGGTAGGTTGGAGATTGATTTGATGTCTTCAGGTCCTAAAAGCACAGCAGACCATCAATCATCAAGTAATGAAGACAATTATATTGTACATAAACCCTTTTGTTGCAAAGTTGAGCAGTTTTTAGTTATGAGCATTTTTAGAAACGAGCCAAATTTTGAAAAATACCCAAAGCTATATAGCCCATGGTTTTTTTCCAAAAAATGGCTCCAAAATCACCCCCAATTTTTATTACATTTTTTGATACACATTGATGTCCTTATGCTATGTAGAAAGTTTGAGTTGTTTCTGACAAATTTTTTTAGTTATGACCATTAAAAAAACAGCCATTTTCTGAAAATTACCCAAGGCTATAGGCTATAGCCCATTGTTTTTTCCAAGAAATGGCTCCGAAATCACCCCCAGTTATTATTACATTTTCTGATACATATTGATGTCCTTATACTGTGTAGAAAGTTTGAGCTGATTCTGACAAATATTTTTTGAGTTATGACCATTTAAAAAAATAGCCATTTTCTGAAAATTACCCAAGGCTATAGCCCATGGTTTTTTTCCAAGAAATGGCTCCGAAATCACCCCCAATTTTTATTACATTTTCTGATGCATATTGATGTCCTTATGCTATGTAGAAAGTTTGAGTTGTTTCTGACAAATTTGTTTTAGTTATGACCATTTAAAAAAACAGCCATTTTCTGAAAAATACCCAAGGCTATAGCCCATGGTTTTTTCCAAAAAATGGCTCTGAAATCACCCCCAATTTTTATTACATTTTCTGATACATATTGATGTCCTTATACTGTGTAGAAAGTTTGAGCTGATTCTGACAAATATTTTTTGAGTTATGACCATTTAAAAAAATAGCCATTTTCTGAAAATTACCCAAGGCTATATAGCCCATGGTTTTTTCCAAAAAATGGCTCCGAAATCACCCCCAATTTTTATTACATTTTCTGATGCATATTGATGTCCTTATGCTATGTAGAAAGTTTGAGTTGTTTCTGACAAATTTGTTTTAGTTATGACCATTTAAAAAAACAGCCATTTTCTGAAAAATACCCAAGGCTATAGCCCATGGTTTTTTCCAAAAAATGGCTCTGAAATCACCCCCAATTTTTATTACATTTTCTGATACATATTGATGTCCTTATACTGTGTAGAAAGTTTGAGCTGATTCTGACAAATATTTTTTGAGTTATGACTATTTAAAAAACAGCCATTTTCTGAAAATTACCCAAGGCTATATAGCCCATGGTTTTTTCCAAAAAATGGCTCCGAAATCACCCCCAATTTTTATTACATTTTCTGATACATATTGATGTCCTTATACTGTGTAGAAAGTTTGAGCTGATTCTGACAAATATTTTTTGAGTTATGACCATTTAAAAAAACAGCCATTTTCTGAAAATTACCCAAGGCTATAGCCCATGGTTTTTTCCAAAAAATGGCTCCGAAATCACCCCCAATTTTTATTACATTTTTTGATACACATTGATATCCTTATGCTATGTAGAAAGTTTGAGTTGTTTTTGACAAATATTTTTTTGAGTTATGATAATTTTTGGAAATGAGCCAAATTTTGAAAAATACCCAAGGCTATAGCCCATGGTTTTTTTTCCAAAAATGGCTCCAAAATCACATACAACTTTTATTGCATTTTTTGATACATATTGATGTCCTTATGTACTAAGTTTGAGCTGATTCCGAGAGCCATTTTAGAAAATGAGTCAATTTTAACAAATACTTTGTAGTGCATGGTTTTTGGCTTTGAAATAAGCACCAATTTATAATAAAATTTCTGATACATATTCAAGCTATGAGTAGGAGCCAATTTTGGAAAAAAGCAAATGCTACAGCCTTTGCTCTTTTCAAAAAAAAAGCCATAATCTAATCTCCTTACTAAAACTTCGACTTACCGGTATTTAAAAAAAAGAAATTTTTGTAGAACATGGTTTTTCAGAAATCAGCTTTAAAACTTGATGCTAATTTGATTCTTGGCACTGTTCTTGTGTTTAGGGAGAGCGAGAGGTGTTCTGACTGTCACTTTTACTGGCAACCCTCCACAAAAGAGCTCAAAATATGAAAGTAAAGATTTTAATATTTATTATTATTATTATTATTATTATATTGATTTTTAAGTTGTTTTTTGTGTTGCCATCATGCATGTACAATGTACATGTAGCTATATATTATTTAAAAAATTTAAATATTGCGTTCTTCAGGTGATTCCAGGAGATGGGTAACGTTTTGTTTGGGGAGTCAGAAACACAAAATCCAGTTACCGACTGGCCAGGAGAGCTGGAAGACAACCTACTCATTCTTTGTGTATGATGTCAAAGAAGACGTGGTAATGGAGAGTGGGGGAGAAGAGAATATAAAATGAATTACTGTACTGTAGTGTGCCTTTTTTGAGGGCTGTAAATTTCACAGATTTTGCAATTTTTTTGAAGATTTGCGAAAATTACTTCCACAAAAATCAAATTATTGCAGTACAAGATGGGCAGACGGGCATGAATTTGCGAAAATTAAATCTGCAAAGTAGATTTTTAGGCCAATTCGCAAAATTTACAGCCCTTGAAAAAAGGCACCAAGAGGAAAATGAGTAGGTTTTTAAAGCTTTCTTTTTTATTAATTGTTGCAGTTGATAATTAAAGTGAAGCACTACAGAGTGATGTACACTATGACACTGGCAATGCACACTGTTAGTCTCAATGCACTGAATCTTGTTAATGAAAGTGGAGAGGAATTCAGAACTAACAGGTAACAATTATTTCACACGCACTGACGCACACACACTATCACACCAGCTGTGTCACTGTTTTTGTTAGCTACATGTAGGGGAATTTAAAACTTTAAATGGAGCATTCTGTTCTTTTAATATGTACATGTACATGTAGTTTTCTCCCACTTAGCCTAAATTTTTACAGCCCTTACATGTGTTCTTTCTACAGCAGTAATGTAGTTTATTCATTCATTATGTACTAATAATGTATTGATAGGTATATATCAGTTGGTAATTCAGAGACTAACATTAGCCTGGATATTGATTATACTCCACTCCCACCATTCTCTCTTAACTACTCTCTCCCTGTCCCTCCCTCTGACCAAGGTATAGGCTACTCTCAATTAATAATATCTTTCAGTGTATTATGAATGTCTTATCTCTCTCTTCTCTTAGTTGCTGGTGTGTTATATATTCATGTACATTCAGCTCTTGGCTTGAGGAGTGGTGATATGGATGGTCTTAGTGATCCTTATTGTGTTGTACTGGTCAACAAGAAAAAAGTAAATACACACACACACACAAACTAGAATTAAAAATTCATTAGTAAATTCAATTTTAATTGGAATCCGCTCAAACTTTCTACACAACATAAGAACATGCATATGTATCAGAAAAAATTCTCTCCTAGCCATTTTTTGGCAAAATTTTGGAGCAACTTCAAAAATTTCTAAACAATCCAATTTTCATTGGAATCAAATCAAAGCCTCTCCCTGTTATATGGCCACATTACTAGTTATGACATATCCTTTGGTAATTAATGAATGTTGTTTTTAAACAAAAATTATTTTTCATTTTATATATAATGTATGTATATGGACTTGATTGTAGCCTGACACCATAATTACATTCCAGCTAGTGTATCACCACACACAGACACACAGACACACACACACACACAGAGCTTGAATTAGTGCTGCATACACTGTATGTGATATTTACACACATACATGTGTGTACACTTATATTACCATGCATGTAGTACAGTATAGTACTTGTATATTTGTTTGTTAATATCTGGTTATTGTGTCTAAGGTGGTTATGTACATGTACTTGTATATGGTTATAGTGATGTGGGTGTTTGTACATGTACATGTATGAGTGTGGTGCCGGAACTCACTGTTGTGTTTTTCACAACTTCTCAACAGCTGTTCTCCTTCATTGCATTCTGTTATTGGTATGACTTATGTATTGTCTCTTCACTCCTCTCTTTCTCTCCCTCCCCCTCCCTCCCTCCTCCCTCCCTCTCCCTCTCTCTCTCCCTCTCCCTCCCCCTCCCTCCCTCCCTCCCTCTCCCTCCTCCCTCCCTCCCTCCTCCCTCCCTCCCTCCTCCCTCCCTCGCTCTCCCTCTCTCTCTCTTTCTTTGTCTCCAGGTTCTCACTACTCATTATATACTGGATACACTTGAGCCAAAGTGGGAGAGAGGGATTGAGATATTTGTCTCTGATTTCACTCAAGTCTCCCTCACATTTGCTGTCTATGATTGGGATGGCCCACTGGTTGGAGATGACTTGCTAGGAACATGCAAAATGACACTTGAAGCTGTGAGTCCAATATCAGCCCATTGACCATTTACTGTATGCAGTCCAGTTACTTTTAATGGTGGTCTAAACTACAATGCACATGTGTAGTGTAATACATATGCATATAAAATAAATACATGTACATGTACATGTATAGTGTATGTGCATATAAGCATATGCATGTATATTTCATAGTAGTTCCTTCTATTTTCCTCATCTCTTGTAGGATAAACCTTATATTCTTCATAAGGAGCTTGAGCTAGAGATTGATGGTAGTCCTGTCCTCAATGGTGCCTCATTGGGTTTGCTCAGTGTCTCTGTTGTATTCAGAGATGTTGAATCAGTCTCTAATGCAGGTACATCCACGCGCACATGTAGCTATACTTAAATGTACATGTACATTATGTACATGTACATATGATGCATTGGATAAAAGAGAATTTTTAAACACATAATATTCTGTTTGTATTTTGTCTCATTCATTGCTTCAGCACCCTACAACACTTGTGTTTCAATGGAGTACAGTGTACATATACATGTACTTTTGTGTGTGTGTGTGTGTGTGTGCATATTTGTTCATGAGTTAATGAGCTATGGAAGAATGATGGAGGCTTCTTAGTACTTTGAGCTCTGACCCGAACTATTCCTAAATGAAATTTAATCTCTTTTGTCCAACAATATGTCCATTATATGGCAAATACCAAATTATAAAAAACATATAATGTCAACACTGTACATTGTATACGTACATGTGTATTTTTTATTTATTTTTGTTTGTTGGTATGATAATTGTTTATTTACTAGATGTAGAGGGAAGTGGTATTATTAAGGCTCACTCTGTTCTCACGCATTCTTCATCAGCAGATGCTGCCAGTAAAATGACTTCAAAGCAAGCAGTGAGTCTAACTGTTGCATAGTATTACGTAATCTCCTTTTACTGATTATCATGGTATGGGAACTTTAATTGTTGCTTGTGTACAGCTGGCTATTTGGGAGTAGTATTGTATTTCATTTTAATTCCTCCTGTATTGTGTAGTACATTAATACATGATGCAATGTGCAGACAGTACAGTATAGACCCATTGATAGTAAAGCAATTAATATACATTGTACATGTACATGTACATGTAGGTCGTGGATATGATGTATTGTATAATTGTAATATTTTTGTGCTATGATGCTGTATGTAGTTTGCATATAATAAAAGGACAGAGCTACCGTATACTGGTTTATTTTTGTGGTGAAATATTTTTGCAAATTTTGCAGTTTCTCGCTCTTTCGCGGAATTTTTCCACCACAAAATTCTGCATATTAATTGCCACGTGGGGTGAAGCCATTCGCAAAAATTAATTCCGAAAAATCTTAGAAATGCAAGATTCGCAAATTTTTTTTTTGCCGTGAAAATAAACCGGTATACGGTATTATTGACACTTGCCTACTCATTCATGTCAAGTCTGATTGTTATGTAATGATTGTTGTTTTGTGTGGTAGTCTGTGATCCACTGATACTAGTATTAGACTCACTGATACGAGTGTTGGATTACTGGGCAATCATGAATGGTGAATGGAATGTACCTATTTATACATGTATGTGTGGTCATAGAGTTATGTGTAGAAAAATATAATTTTTATTCACAGCCTTCATAGTTGGAAAAACATTATTATGCCAATTTACAATATGACATTAGGCCAGCATTCATTTACCATCAATTTTTAATCAAAAGCGTGGGTGAATTAACCTTTTGACGCATGATTTATGCTAGATTTGAACCAAATTTAACTCTAGCATCAACATAACATCAGGACTATCGTAATATTGTACCTAATCTTAGGAATTGAGTGGTATGGGGTATTAATTGACTTTTAAGGTCAATAGGAAATGTTTCTAGAAATTCGATTTGCTTGTAACAAATCTAACAATTAGCACAATGTACATGTACGTGTATGGTGTCATTATTATTATTGTGTCAACACATTAGTGGCACTGTAATGGGCTATAGACATGAATTTGTAATAATATTCATCAATCATTACGTGTTTGTTTATCATGTAAATGTATCTAATGATAATAATCATAGTACTACATTTATTATAATGGGCTATAGTCATTAGAGACACTTGTGCTATACCAACAAATGGACTTTGCTGCTAGTATGCGTACAACAGTGTGATGTAATGAGCTGTTCACATTGGATGTACATGTACATGTAGTACATAGTATAATTGAATGGATTATGCAATAGATATCATTATGTACATGTACATGTATGTATATACCATACCTTTGAGGTCTATATCAAGTGGTATATCAAGGGCGGAGGTGTATATGCGTAATATACCACCTGGCGGTGCATTTGATCTTACAGTAACTATAGTATAATGTGTATTTATTGTTATGCTCTATTCCATTATTATGAGTATCTTCTTTTCTTGTAGTGGAAGAAATTGAAAGGTTTGGGTGGAATTCTACCAGGAGAGAGTGAGCCACCAATCTGACACACTTATACGATCCTTTCACCTTTTTTTAATTTTAGATTTTGGGATTTTAGAATTATCCGTCGTTGAAGGTAGAAACCTTAAGGCAATGGACAGAAATGGTAATTGTGATATTACAAGATTGCTATGCATAAAAACTCTCTCTCTCTCTCCCTTAGGTTTCAGTGACCCATACATTGTTGTTAAGTATGGCGTACATGAGATGTACAGGACTCCGTCTGTTTCAAAATCACTCAATCCAAAGTGGAACTGTCACTGCACCCTCTCAGCTCCACCACCAGACACATCAATAATACTGGTAAGCTATGGTCTACATTGAACATGTACAAGGGAGAAAGTACTAGTGGGGGAGCACTAGTGGGGGATGTAGCCTTTCACTAGAAACTCTTGAACAAAGACATGAACATGTTCTGATTATGTGTCCATCACAGTGTATGAAAGTCTGTGTGTGTGTGTGTGTGTGTGTGTGTGTGTGTGTGTGTGTGTGTGTGTGTGTGTGTGTGTGTGTGTGTGTGTGTGTGTGTGTGTGTGTGTGTGTGTGTGTGTGTGTGGTTGCTGTATTTTTAGTAGTATGATTATCGACAAGGTGTTAGTGTGTATTTATAGTAACTTACGAGCTACTGTTTGTTCTTTTTGACCTTTTCCTTCATCTCTCTCTCTCTTACTCATTTTGTGATATGTTACTGACAATCATTTGTACCTATAGGAATGCTGGGATAAGGACCAGTTCACTAGTGATGATTTCATGGGATCACTTGCATTCACTCTCAATGACCTAAAGCTATTTGAAGTACAATTATCTCCTCTCTCTTCATTTACACGCATGCACACAGTGCATTCCTTGCCATTTTTCTATTTCCTTTTCTTATACTTTATTCTCTTTTCTCCCTCCCTCTCTCTCTCTCTCTCTCTCTCTCTCTCTCTCTCTCTCTCTCTCTCTCTCTCTCTCCCTCTCTTTCTCTCTCTCTCTCTCCAACAGAATGGCCCTGTTTGGTGTCCCTTGCAGCATGTCTCCAGTGGGGAAATACGTTTAGAATTCAAAAAATCTGACACCTTAAGAGGGAATGTATGTACATATACACAACTTCTGCTTACGTGTATTTATTCAATCGTTTTCTCCCACTCTTTTTCTGTCTCTCCCCCTCAATCTTCCCCCCCCTCCCCCCTCTCTCTTTTTCATTTTAAATTCTCTTTCTCTCTACCATTCTTTATAATAGTTACAGGACAATGCATCATTTGGTAATGTATCACTAGAAGAGTCGTCAAGAGAGCCAGCTGAAGACTCTGACAATGAATCCTCTCACGGTCACACTGTCCCTTATATAACGTATGGTGACAGCGGAGTCCCTTCTCCTTCTCGATCAATGTCTCCCTCTTACTCATCGCCTCATTTGGTCTCTCATACTCCCCCTCCTCCTCACCCTCTCCCCTCTTCCTCCTCTAATGGCAGTAGTCTTGACCCTAGACTCTCTCCGGTACCAGTCCCTGAGAGAGGGAACCTCACCTCAAGTGAGTGTGTGTGTGTGTCTGTGTGTGTGCATGAGTCTCACATGTACATGTATTACTGTATAGCTGAGTTTAAGGATATTAATTTTATGAATTACCTGTATATCCGGAGGTTCACAAAATTAATTTTGCGAATTGACACTATTCTGCCATTTTGTACCGTATTAGATTGATTTTCAAGGAGATTTAATTTTGTGATTCTTAAAAAAATTGTGAAATTTTTTATTCTCAAGAAAATCCACTATGTGGTACGCAAGATTCTCTACAGACCTTGTAAACTAATAGCCACATGCACTTAATCTTGCAAAGTTTGAAGGAATCACATCTATAGTTTTTTTTTGTAAACTAAATGGATGGTTTTTGGGCTAAGGAGTATTTACAGATCCAATGTTTGCCTGAAGAAATATTATATTTGTATTAGTTGGACTGTCATGACTGTGTGTGTATAAATGAGGTTTTGAAAGTGAATAGATTAACTACATGTACACATGTACATGTATAGCACTTGTAGAATGATAAAGAATGGATTGAAATTTATGAACAGAATGATGATTATTAGATTATCTATCTGCATTGCAATGCTAATATTTTTATTATGTAATGGCCCCCACATAAAGATGCATGCATATATTAATGTGGGAATTACATTTTAGAACATTTTAATTTAATAATTTGTGATTGAAATCATAACCACAGCATTTTGGCACAGCTGTCACTGTGTGTATGCATATAATACAAGTTTGTGTGTGTCTGTGTTTAATTCCAGGTGTCTGGGGCTATTAATCATTGAGTATTATTAGCAAAACACATTCATAGACTTTGCACTTGTGTTACTATGGCTCCATAATATGATACTGTGCACTATATTACAATTATATACGTATAGAATTAAATGATTACTGTGCACCATGTACATACTAGGACACAAGAGTAAGAGTGGCTCATTACAACATTTCAGTAATCACAGACACTCTATAACCCCATCAGTTGGTAGTGGGGACTCCAGTATATCAACTCACAGTGCATCACTGCTCGGGTATAGCATCAGTGGAGACACTCCTGAGAGAGAGATCAGGAGAAGAGGAGACAAAGGTACATGTACATGTACAACAATAATCGTACATGTATTACATGTACATGTACAATACATGCACCTTCTGTGTGTTCGTATCCTGTGATGAATGGTGCCATAGTCTCTTTTTATTCCTTTCTCTGTTGCTTCTCTACTTCTCTATTTGTTTAGGTGGGCACCGTCACTCTATGTTCGAGAGTTCCACTACCATACCCCATCAGACATCGGTCTTTTACAATGTTAGTGGAGAGATCATTGACGTGGAGGGACTAAAGGGTAAACTAGGTAAGTACACATACAAATGTAATCATTGAGCAATCTCTGTTGTGGTATTACTACCAGAATTGCTTTCTTGAGGCTTTGGGTATGTGTCATTTATTTATATAATATGATTAATATTGCAACACCGCTCAACTTGAAAGCCGTTATTTTGTCTACATTCCTTCTATTGTATTGCTTCATACCTAGCATTAGTAGACTAGCTATTTCCTATCAGCTACAAAAGACACTACTATGATTGTATTTCAGTAATCAATTACCTCCACCCATGTATCATAACAATCGAGTTTTCTTATTACTTGCTATGTATACTCATTAGTTTAAGGGATTGTGTTACTAAAGCATTTAGTATTGTTTGTTATTCTGTCACCTGATGACATACTGCATGAGGCTCTCTGTCACATTATACTTCATGCCACTTTGTCTCCCTTTCTCTCTTTGTAACAGATCATCTCATGTTATACATTAAAGTCAGGTTGAATTCGTAAGTCACTGTGTGATAAACTTTTCTTCATTGATGTCTTATGCTTCTTTCCTCTCTGTTAGGCGTCCGAGTCACTTAAGACGTCAAAAGTTTGACCGAGGTCCTTTACTGCATAAAACCCAATCAACGAGGGGGAGCAGCTCGGTTTCCTTTAATGAAGCTTTTGTAGTAAGTCTTTTGCTTCATTATGTAGTGTAATGAATTATTAATGAATTATTAATGAATGTGGGGTTTAGTTTAATTTGACTTGTAGCCTCAAAACTAACATTACATTTGTATACATACATGTACATGTGTACATGTGCAATAACTAAAAATCAAAAGAAACGAATGCAAATTATGCAATTTACATGTACATGTATTCGCAGCAAACTGTCGCAGCACTATAGTAGTTACATGTATGATACTTAGCAAAATAATCACAATAATTATAGCTAACAGTACTGAGAATCTAATAGTACTATAATGTTTCAATGGTAGTGTAATAGTGTTGTATCATTATACCAGGTAAAGGATAGTCCCATATCTACGGACTCACTGATGAGCATTGATCTTAAGAGTGGGCCTAATGTCACTCTTGGTACTCACGTCATCACGCTGGACAAGTTCTTTGAAGGTCAGTCAGCTCTACTCCTAATGCTCTGTCTAATTCTGTTGTAGGTAATCTTAGAGCTACTAAATGGTTGGACCTTGGAAATAGTAAGTTATTCCTTGCAATAGTTACATGTACCTGTAGGCTGTAGCTATAACTAAAGCTAACAGTACATGTACATGTACATGTATATTTAGTTTGAACATGTATATGAAATAAATTTTTGCGCAACCTACTAAAGCACCTCAGCATTTAGTATGCATAAAAAGTTTAAGCTGATTCTGATCACAAAAAAAACTTAAGCTAAATTTTTATGTTTATTTGAGAGAGGAAACATTATGAAACAGTACTAGCTTATTAAGTAGCGTGTCTGCTTACTCCATTCTTTTTTGTAGATATGAAGATAAGAATGAAGTTGTCTCACTGCCCACCACATGCTCGAAGCATTGATGCAAGTTTTAATGACACCTTGTAAAATTGAATGTTTTAAAATTAATTTTTATTATAATGATAATAATAATTTTTGATGTGAATGAGCTTGAGCTAATTAGATCGAGTATCCGGAAATATTCCGTATACTACGCCTCGTTTTAAGAATGCACACATGGTAAGGGCTAGCAGACATTCCTTGTATTTTTGATCTTCACACAGCGCTCTCTCCCTCCCTTTCCCGTCATCAAAGGAAGCTCAGATAGCATGTAATTCACTATCAGTCGACCCAGAGCCGAGACGAGATGTCTCCAAGTCCCTTTCGGTAGAAAGCAATGTACTAAGCATGTGAGCCCATTGCACACACAAACACACCTAAAAAGCACAAATTCAAGGTAGTGCTAAGAGTTAAAATTCGATTTGTAGAGATGCTTATTAATTAAAGTGTGAAAGAAAATTATCATGACCATATTAAGTAAAGTGAGCAAAAATATGCAGCCCTGAACCTTAATGAGCTCACAGCATGACAGTAGTAAAAAGCTTTTTAAACAACTTTAAAATTCTTAAAAAAATCCAATTTAAATTAGAATCTGCTCAAACTGTCTACACATCATAAGAACATGTATATGTATCAGAAAAAATTATAAAAATAAAGAATTTCCTCCTAGCCATTTTTGCAAAATTTGGCAGACGGCCCTGTACTATAGTACAGGGATTTTGGCCCAATTTTGGAGCGACTTTAAAAATTCATAAAAAATCCAATTTTAATTGGAATCTGCTCAAATTTTTTACACAACATAAGAACATGTATATGTATCAGAAAAAATTATAAAAATAAAGAATTATCTCCTAGCCATTTTTGACAAAATACCCTGTGCAGGGTGTTTTGGAGCAACTTCAAAAAATTCATAAAAATTCACTGACAAGAAGCTGAGCACTATGCCAAAAATGTTGTGGGAAATTCACCTAATTGATCAGATATGATTAGTGCTTAAGTGCATGATGGCTGTAAAGTACTGATGATGAATACTGATAATAATTTTTCCATTTTGACAGTCATTTCTCAGCGAGTGAGGCAAGGCTGCTAAGAGTAGCTGTTGGATCATTTATGGAGCACCTTATCTTAGTGGTAGAGACACTGAGGGAGTTTGGCCCTCCTCTACAGCAAGAAGAAGATGATTAGCAACTTTTTTGTTCATTATAATATGTGTTTGTATGTTCATTTTTGAGATTACAAAATGATTAAAAATAGAGTACACACATGTCAAATGTACATAATTGGGTTCATGAACTCGAGGAGAGTTGTAGACTGGCCTTGTTTGATGTTATATACATGTATGGACATTGGGCAGACTGAATTTACAAATGTGAGAGCTGACTCGTGACGTCAGAGGGTTGGAGCGGAAGTTGAATAATGACAAACACGAGGATTCCTTGGCAATAAAGTGTGTAGCGGGGATTGGACTGTTCTGCATAGCAAGTTCTTTCCTGTACAAACTAGAGAGCTTATTAGGTCTACACTACTGGAAGTTGTTTGCCATTAGGCTAAAGCTATATTTGTCGTGATTTTCTTTCTACTGGAGATTTGCCTGATTTAAGGGTTTCCTCGCCCCATTTATTGTTGGAGGCTGTTATCTTTGGAGCTTTGTTATTTTTGCTGTGTAGTAATTTTTCGGACCACATGGAGCCTTCAAACCGATTTGATACAACAGAGCCATACTCTGTCCTCAACAGAAAGGAGAGGTCCAGGGAATTGGCTCAGAAGCGCCGCACTACATACAAAGGCCTGATGAAGGATCTAGCAGATGAGCTCCCATTCTCTAAGGACGTGGTATCACAGGTTGATTATAATTCTCGCCTCAGACTAGCTCTGTGTTTCTTTCGTATGAAATCCATTGCTCCACAAAAAGAGCCTCTTTCATCAGGTATGTTATCAATTATTATCACATAACATGTATCTATATTCATTTTGTCAATGATTGCTATGAGCCTATGATTATTTTTTATCTTTAAAAATTAATATTTTGTAGAATCACAAAGTGTTAGTTACCACCGTGGTCTTGTTCAGGATCTCATAACAGAGGTATGTCTGAAAGCATACATATATATGACTCATGCATGACCTCTCCTTCCTCCTCAACCATTATTATTAGTCATTGGATGGGTTTCTAATGGTCACCGGTGGTGATGGGAGTTTGATTTTTATTTCTGAAAGCATCCACAAGCACCTTGGTCTCTTTCAGGTATAATTCATATATTAATCGTACATATTATATTAATCGTATATAGTTGGATTTAAAAAGTAAATGTGTTATAATAGAATTTAGATTTTACTGTTGAAATTTTTTGTGTGCGTTCTGATAGCATCTATAATTAGGAATAGGAACGGCCTTTTAGGTGACCTTTGCAAGCTTTGCAATGCCAAACATAGCATGCGTGACAGTCATTATTTTTGATCTTACTCAATAATTAGTTTATTATTATTTCTAATCTTATTACAGTCTGAGCACATTGGCCTCTCCATGTATGAGATCATTCATGAAGAAGACTACGAGACTGTGAAATCAGCTCTTGATGATGCCAATAAGAAAGTCATTGATCACCCAGGAAGTAAGTTACTCGCTCTTACTTAACATAATGTGAGAGAATATTTTGGCATACAAATTCTTACTCACAATAATTATAATGAATGATTTGACCTGGGATGGGACTAAGTTTATTCCAGTGTGATCTTATGCCTATTGCTTTGCAATAGTATTTAGCGATTGTGATGCAACTGTGATCACACTAATGGTTCATCACTTTGTTTATTTGTAGTGTAAACATTTTGTTAGTGCCAGTATTGTTTTTGCTCAAAAATTCACAGTAATAAGACTGAGGCTAAACTAACTTGCGTTGTCATTACTAAGTGTGAATTAATATATAGCAGCTTTATTTATCACTTTCACTCCTTCACTTTAGAATCTGCTCCATGCTCTTTCTTTTGTCGGATGAAATGCTCGAGATTCAAAGTCTCAAATACAGCAGCAAAATGTCCAGGATACAAGGTAAGGATTGAAGCCCCGGGACATCACTCACCCCATCCTTTCTCACACTTTTTTTACAGTTGGTATTTGTTTCTGGCCATTACAAAATCACACAGAGTGAGCCCTGCCTATTTGCTATCGTTCGCCCTGTCTCTCCTCCTTCTATACTGGAGATTACTATGGAAGGGAATGTCTTTGTGACACACTATAGCATGCAGATGAAATGCATATTCTTTGATGGGAGGTGAGTTGACATCTAGTGTATTGTATTGCTCGATTCTAGCTAATCAGACCCCATTTGTTTGCTAGTGTTTTCCAAATATGTAACCTAATAGAATATTTTGGCTAATATTTTCTTGGCACGAAAAAGAAAATCATGATCATAACAATCCCTGCATGTGAACAGCAAACAGGCCATGTTTTTTCCTTCCTTTAATTTATGATGCATACATCAAACTATCCCCACTTCCCTCTTCTGTGTAACTGGATAGTGTATACGTACATGAACCCTGTTTTATCTTGGTTATGTTTATGTCATGTATCCTCTCTTTAAAGGAAATCTTGTGATTTTTTGAAGTACTTTATCACTAACAGCATCAGTTAAAAAATTTATATAAACAACGTTCTTTTTAATGTTTAGGCTTCAGAATTTGATGGGCTACGAGAAGAAAGATCTCATCAATCACGTACCGTTTGAATTTCATCATCATGAAGACGTTGAAGCTAACCTTGAATGCAGTAGAGGATGTAAGTATAAGACTTTATAAATTATGATATGTTCTGTAATAAAGTGTTGTGAGTGTAAGAGCAGTATTCTTTATGTGGGACTTGTTCCTTGTTTACAGTGATAGTTTAAGTTGTTTGTGATAATTCTTCTTTCATGGGATTTTACATTCTGTCTTGTTTCTCTTTCTGTTCTCTCTCTCTCCCCCCCCCTCTCTCTCTCTCCAAACACACAAACACACACACACTCTTTGTCTCTCTATTAATTTCCAATTTCCTGTTGTAGTAATGGAGAAAGGAGAGGGTTTAAGTGGCTATTATCGTTACCTGACCAAGTATGGCACGTTTGTCTGGGTCCAGTCTAGAGCCACTATGATGTTTGATAGTAGGACAGGGAAACCATCGTACATTGTCTGCATGAATTATATCATAAGGTAAGAATTAAACCTAGTCACATACGCTGCATGCATATAGACCCAGTCACGTATTGATGCACGTACCCATTTTTTATTTAATAATATCCTTAATTACTAGTTACAGATCACGTACCATCACATAGCGTTATAATTGTTGACTTTGTTTTTTCCGGTTGAGCCAAGCCCTGCATGTACGTGCATAATGCATGTAGAAATTACGTTATTTTTATTAATCTATTTTTGTCTTTGTTGTAGTCGTGAGAAAGGTGAGAAGTGTCTTGAGATGCGTAAGAGTAAAGCAGAGGCTGGCGTTCCTACCTCTCCTACTCCCAGTGTTGAGTCCTCTCGCTCTCATGATCCCTTTCCTGTACCGAGAGATGATGGTAAATCAATGGATCCATTCCAGGACCCTGAAGCAGTTGAGAGTACCAGGTCACCATCGTCAGTTACTGAGAGCCTCACGTCCGCCCCTCCTTTATTACGGTCTGTATCCCCCGAGTCTCTACAGTCATCAAGTCCTACTCCTCCCTTATCTAATGCTAGTGATAAGTCTAGCAGCGTTCTTTCGATCAGTGACAGAGGGTACGATGTAATGTCGACGACTCGTGATTCTGTTACCACACCAACGGCAGTTTCCCCCACTCCCTCTTTTGCTGAATCAGGCATCACTACAGACTATGGTACGTATAGTCCTCAGATATCTGAGGAAGGTTTTATTAAACACGAGCTCTTGTCGCCAACGTTCACAAAGTCTCCTCCTAGCCTTGTTTCTTTGCTGTCCTCGGAGCCTTTTGATAACGTGAAACTGTTTCAGCACAGCCCATCAGCTATCCCTGATGTCTCCCCTATCAGTTCGGGATATTCAGGGCAGAGTCAAATTCCCTCGGACAAAATGTCTAGCTCTTTTTTGAGTCGCCCCGGACAGATGATGCAAAGTCAAGGACAAAATGTGATGATGTCTAGACACCCTCTTCCTTCCTTCCCTCCTCCTCCTCCTCCTCATGCAGCAGCCGGTCTTCAGTATGGTTCAATGAGCGGCAATTACCGTCATCAGCAAGTACCGTTTAATTTTACTGCTACAATGGTACAGCAAGCACCATCTCATCTCAACATGTCTGGGCCTTATGTTACTGCAGCAATCCCTCACCATTATCCCTCTCCTGTTCCTTCAGCTATCCCCATTGGGGTTGGTAATGGATTCTCTCTACCTGTACTGAGAGCTGAGGATGTTCAGTTTTTGAATTTAACTTCTGACTCTTACATTTAACTATTGTAGATACGCACACTATAATAATTATTGATCATTTTTTGAACCTGTCTTTTTTTCTTTGTGTAAAAAGTGTATTTCCTTGTCTTGCCCTGTTATCCAATGTCCAGTTATTTTTATAATGCATCGTTATTAAAAATCGTTTATTGTTTAAAAACATTTTTATTGTGTAGGCGTGGTTTAGTTTGCGTTAGATAGATCTTTTTTTTGTCGGCGGTGGATCAGTGAGTGGTGAGTCGAGAAAGCAGTTTAAAGATGACATCAACTGGTGGTGGCTTCACAAGTGGCTTTAGAACGATAAAGAGCGGCTATCTTAACAAGAGATGCAGAGTAAGATCCAGCTCGATTAGTAGAATGCATAGTCTATTATCTGGTGATCTTTGCAGCACTGGCTTATGCCTGAGCCTAGTTTAGAATTTAGGTCTAGCTTGATCAGTTTATTGGGCTCAATATTGTGTAGACTCAGAATGCACGACTATTGCTATACTGCTTGCATAGCAAAAGCCCCAAGGGCCCCCCATAATAATGATGTAGTGATATTATAATCAAATTATTGTGTACACTTTGATTTTTATAGTGGTCCTGGAGGCCTAGATATGTGGAGCTGATATCAAATCCTAAAGACATGACTGGTATATATTTGCAATAAATATGAATGATAAGAAACATGGCAATTTCTTGCTGCTAGCTAGCTGTATGAGCTCATAGCTATTGCATTATTGAAAAAAAAACACAACAAAGCTATGTAATCAGGAGATAACTCCTACACTTGACTCAATGAGGCAATAGGAGTTATAGCTTACACAACTTATTGGGTTCACCGATTTTGCGATTTACCTCCATATATAGCTCTGAACCTACCTCCTGTGCTTTTGTTTACTGTGAATGGCTTATCACAATAATATTCACACATTTGCTATCAGTGCCAATCATTCAATGCATACTGTAGTAGAAAATTTGTGTGTCCTGATTGGTTAGAGTATAGTTTAACTAGACTATCTCACAAAAAATGTGAGTAGAATTATTGTTGTGCCTCATACCTGGTTTGTAGTGTAATCATTGTGCGAATGCATCAAAAGTGTTGACGAATTGGGCCAACTAATGCTAACAATAAGTAGTGGGAGAGGTAGCCTAATGTAAATATTCCAATGTCCACTGCTAGAATCAGCTTTCAGTTTGGAAGTAGCAGTCATCACAATTGCAGATATAGCTTTATGGGAGTTCCAGGAAATGTTGTGATTAGTATAGTAATCAAGAGGGGATTTTTGTAGCATTTGTATTATTGAGAGAACTTGGTCTATTTGTATAATACAATTATAGTAGTACTATAATATCACTGCGTGTGTGTGTTTGTGTGCTTTGTGTACTCTCATTTCAACATCAATAGTTAAAGTGTTATCATAACAATCTTTAGGCCCACATTTTCGCTGTCTTTTACTCATATATGATCATTCCTCTCGATACGTGAAGAACAAGATTCGTGTTGACGACATAGTAACCGTGCGATCAGGAAAAACCTTCTCCTTTCAAATTTACCTTAACAATGGGATGTTTCTTTTCTTCAGAACGGGATCACTCGATAATCAATCAGCCTGGATGGCTGATCTTAAAATGGCCCTTGGAAAAGGTTTGTTATTGAAATTATAATTGTATGTATGTGTGTGGTCATGAGATAATAAAACGGTATAAGTAAACAACGGAGGGCTTGGGTTTAGGGTTTATAGGCAATGAGGCTGAAAGAATAGCATATATTAGGAGGGGAAAAACTGCTTATAAGCATAACAAAGTTAAAATAACACTGTAAAATGTTTTGTTGTATACTCTCTCTTTCACTTTATATCATGCCATGTCTCTCTCTATCATTTTAGTAACATCCCAGTTCCATGTCAGAGTACATGTAGCTGCACCATCATCCTGCAAGGCACTAGTACTAGACCATGCTCTCCTCTACTGCATTGGAGTCAACTTACCGACCCACCACTCTGGCCAGCTGGATAGAGTCCTTGTACTAGCCTCACCAGTCACCGATGTCAACTTACACGCTTGGAACTTGAGCCGAGTCAAACGCTTAATTGTAATGGAAATTGGAATACAAATGGAACTGTGTTCAAATTGTAGCGGGTGTCACGAGAAGAAGGTTGTCATGTTTCTGTTGCCGTCTGATCTCATAGAGGACTGTATGAACTTCTTACTCCATGAGATGCAGGCGACAGATGTGCAGCCTCAGCGATCGATACCCAATGACCCAATTATCTATGTCCTCCCTCACCAGTGTGGAGGGGCTCGCTCCGGCTCATTCTCTTTCCCCCAGCACCAACAACAGCAGCAGAGGCAGCAGGAGTCGTATGACTCTGCAATACTGCATGCTCTCAATAGCCACCCAGCTCCCAATTCACCTTTGCCAGCTGAATCACCTAAAAAAGACCCTCCGGCAGTGACACCCAACCCTGCCCTACCTCCTCGTAACCAGCTCCGTCCAAACTACCAGGAGTACATTGATAGAGGGGTTGAGCTCAAGCCTCGTCATGTCAGTAGTAGTAGGCCCCATGTACCTGCTCGTTATAGACATGATCATTTTGAAGTCCCATACCACATCAGCCAGCGTATATACATCAATGATACTGGGACCATTAGACACGAGTCTCAAGTGCTGGGGAGTGGTAGTGGAGAGTTCAGGGCCAACAATGGCTCACCCTCTCAACCCCCTCGGGTCATAGTAACGGAGAGCAGTAAAGAGACAGGCTACAATCCAGTGTACATATCAAGTGATGATATTCACCCAGGGCCCACCCCAGCAGGACGTCCAGGGACTACTGGACCAAACAGACCAATCAGACCTGAATTTATCGGAAGAAGACGACCAATGCTTCCTCCCAGATCGTCTGATATTTCGGAAGATATTGATCCTCCTCCTCCTCCTCGCTCTTCTCCTCTTTCTAGTCGAACTCCTCCTCCTCCTACTTCAACTTCACCTCGGTCTTCCCCTTCTCCACCTCTCACTCCTCCTCTTCCTGCCCGACTGCCTCCTTCCCCTCCTCCTTCATATTCTCAAGATGATCCTAGTGACACAGGAACAGGATACGTCAATGTAGAGGATACCACTCGCTGCACTTCAGCTCTCTCGCTGTGCACTGATGATATAACTAATGCAGATTTTGCTCTAATGACAAAAGTGACATTTAAAAACATCATCCCTTCCCTTCCCCCGAGATCCAACAAGCAGCCTGTCCCTACACCAAGGAAGCAACAGAATTCGCATAAAACTCAAAATACTCCGTCAAACTCGGTTGTAAGTACCCAGCAGTCGTCATCGTCTGAGTACTCGTACGCCACTGCACCTTTTTATGGGCTTGGCATTGGAGGTTATTCCAGTGTTGTCCACCATACTGATCTGAGGCTTGAGAGACCAAGGTCTCAGAGCTCTGGTAGCTTGTGTTTGAACCAATTGTACGATAGGACTATGCATCACGGACAAGTCAGTAATGAGTGTTAACGGAACTATATCATTGTGTTTGAAATATATATGTGCTGTGTTTTGTACTATTCGTCGTGTGAAAAACTTCACAATAATAATAATAATAATAATAATGATAATAATAATAATAATAATAATAATAATAATAATGATAATAATAGTAGTAATAGTAATAATAATAAATGTAATGAGACCATATTATTGTCTGTTTGTTTTTATTGTGTTATTGTCCTTTTTGATAACATTACTTTATTAAAAATGAACAACAAATTCAACAAAAAATAACTTCAAAGTTGTTTTGTACCTAGCTAGTATTGACCCCACTTTCTACTTGGTATTGTGTTGTGTAGACTACACAAACAAATTCATTAAACATATGGTGCATTTAATTGACAGTTTAAATCTGTTTTACTTAGCAATAACTAAATTTAGGTAAGTGTATCAATATTGACCATGAGCATGCTAATTAACAATAATAATTATAATGTCCCAATTTTTGTATAAATGTCCTTATTCAACTGTGAACATGCATCATGGTTTTGTTATAATGGTTCTGGAATCAACCCCAATTTATATTGCATTTTCTGATGTATATTGATGTCTCTATGCTATCTAGAAGTTTGAGCTGATTCCAATAAAAGTTGAAATTTTTTACAAATTTTTTAAGTTGCTCAAAAATTGGGCCATTTACTTTGTACTGTAGTAGAGGGTTGTTGGCAAAATTTCACCAAAATTAAAAAGAAGAGAATTTTTCATTTTCATAATTTTTGAGTTGATTCCAATCAATACTGGATTTTTTTATGAATATCTAAAATTGTGCCAAAGTCCCTGTGATATATAGTACACACCTCTGGCTAAATTTTGCCAAAAATGACTTGGAGAAAATTCTCTATTTTTACAATATTCCCAACACATACATGTTCTTATGTTGCGTAGAAAGTTTGAGCTGATTTTGTTCCAGTTTCAATTTTCTATGATTTTTAAAAATTGCTTTAAAATTGGGTACAGTGTCATGGACCACACAATTTAGCCAAAATTGAAAAGGAGAAAAATTGTCATTATTTTATTATGACGTACTTATGTTGCATACATATTGATGTCCTTATACCTGATTCTGACTAAAATTAAGCTACGGGGATTTTTGAAGGAAGCAAATTTTTAGAAAAAAAAACAATAACTATATTCAAATGTTTTTTCCAAAAATGGCTCCAAAATGCAAAATTACTCCCAAATGTTACTACATTTCATAATCATGTCTTTATTTGTATAGATACAAGACATTGCATAAGACATTGTTTATGGTTGTTATTCTCCTTGAGATGTTTAAGAGAGGGCGAGCAAGTTAATTTTTTGCTCTTGGTACTTCACCTGAAGGCGCTAGACAGTGTGTAAATACTACTAACAATAGTAATGATAGTAGAGAATTATGATTAATGATTTCACTCTTTTGTGATTTCCACATGAAAGGGTATCCTGCTCTTCCTATACAAACTTCCTGTTAAGTGGTCAGGCTAGAAAGAATAAAAGCTCTCTACCGCATTACATTAGAACACATAATTCATAGTATACCCAAGCTCAGAAACAGCAGCAGGATTTAGATTTGATATAGAAAGAGTGGTCATGGCCGTGTCAAGAAGACAGAAGGAGAACGATACCTTTAATGACATCGCGGGGACCCTACCGATAGAGGAGAGCGCCAAGGAACTGGACAAAGCCTCTGTTCTACGGATAGCGATACACTACCTCAAGCTAAGAGATGTTCTAGCGGACTGTGAAGAAGAAACGAGTCCCATCGATCTCTCATCAGAAAGAACTACTGGTAAGAACTTTTATAACGCAGGTAGACAGTAGCGTGTAGCTCATACTAAAATAGTTTGAGGCAAAATCTGCCAACTATTTTTGTACACACACAAAAACAAGCAAGCAAGCTTTAAAAGTTTTAACACTTAATTTACACCTTACTTTATTTACACCACAAGATGTATGCCTTAAAACTAGCACTTTATTTACATCTCTGAAGGTGTCAATAAAATGCCCAAACTTATTATTATGAATATTTTCAAATGGTATTAATTTAATAATTACACAATGTTATGTAATTGCTTTCCTGTCTTTAATAGAGCATGATGACCTGCACAACTTGGTGCCGAATTTCTCAAAGGATGTTCTACAGGTAAGAGATAAGAATTTCCTTTATATGGTATAGATAGTTGTATGTTACAATTACGTAGCTGGAAATGGGAAATTTATTATAGGAAATTATTATGCATTTAATAACAACCGATAAGAAATCAACTAATGATGTTATTTGTTATTATTCTGTAGGCTTTGGATGGATTTCTAATGATGGTTTCTAAAGATGGTCGTGTCCTTTATGCAACTGACTCTATCTCTCAGTACTTGGGCCTCAGACAGGTAATACTATAATTTAACTATGAACTATGTGAATGCGTGCACATACAAAACAAAACTATAGGCTATTTATTGTGTTTGATCGTGGTTTGACCATTGTTTCAGTATGCACTGTTCTGTTGGCAATATGAGACACAGACAATGTGTGGATTTAAAAATTAGATTTTCAGTCAAAACAGAATCGCTAGTAAACCTTATTACATACATACAGACAGACCTTGCAATACATCAGTAGATTCTTGATGTCAATGCATCAGTAGATTCTTGATAACAATCAACATAAAACTTGGCAGCTAGTAATTGGATAGGAATATCTAAAGGCTAAATCGTAGCTAGCCAGTTCCTACAAAGCATTAGACGCTAAAGAATAAAGCCATTATAGCCAAAGGAAGCTAAAGTCTAGACAGTACACTGGCTAATGGTGCCCTCTTTATGTTCACATTACAATTCATACACAGACAAAACTGCTTCATAACACGTTTTGCATAGGGTGAATCTTGTTTCGTAACACAGCCAATGCATCATATAATGCTGATAACAATGACTTGGACCATTCAAAATATATACTTGTTTTTCCCTGCCTTTACATGTAGCAGTATAAATGACTAGTCTTGTTACGTAATCATATTATAAACATTTAAATCTAGCTAAATAAGGAATAATTGAATAGACACATTTAGTGTGATATTATTATTGCTACATTAAAACATCTGCAGGTCGATGTGATTGGCGTACATGTTCAAGACATAATTCATCCTCAAGATTATTCAGAAGTTGCTACAATCTTCCAGAGCCAAGGCTGTGACATTGGGCCAGAGATGGAAGCACTCTGCAAGGACCCGCTGAGAAGGAACTTTGTTGTTCGTATGCGCTGTGCCTTCACACCCAGCGTACGCTCAATCACAAGATGCTCGAACTTTAAGGTACAAATAATATTAGCACATGTGCAACATTTATGCATCATATGATTGGATTGGAGGTCATGCATGTAATATCTCATGTAAGGTCTATTGAAAGATCAGTGAACCTTTTAATTGGGTTAGCTTGACCACAAGCAGAGATCCTATTCCATGTACATACACAGTCATACCTTAATTTTGCAATTATGTGGATTTTTGGCTACAAGGAATGCACTTTTATAGTTCATGACATGATTTTTGATCCTTATTTTAACTCAATTAATCCTAATTATGGTCCTGTTTGTTTTTAGCCCATATATTGCTCTGGATTTCTCAAGTTCTCGAACAAGAAGGTCAAAGAAGGAGAATTTGTTGGTATGGTGATGCTTTGCAAGCTGGCCAGTGTCATGAAGGTTAAGGAGCTCTGTGTTGGAGCTTTCTTTAAAACCAAACACTCACTGGATCTGAGCTACACTGCTGTGGACACAAGGTAAGAAAGACAGAGAGAAATCCTATATGCATTATGATTAATTAATGAGAGAGATTAATGCATACATTATTTGTTTATCATAATAGGATTAGGTGGATATTGGGGTTTGACCCTGCTGAGATGGTTGGTTTTAAAGCTTATGAATACTTCCACCCTGGAGACCTAATGGCCACATCAAGCTGTCACACACAATGTAAGCTGATCTTTCATTCAACACACAAAACAGACAGACAGTATATAGAGACACCAATACTAGACAGTTAGATTTCCCCCTAAAACAGCCTATTCCTTTGATGTCTCACCAAGTGTACACACTACAATGGGAGTTTGTATAAGGGTGCACTTATACCAGTTTACATCCAAAGTTCAACCATCATTACATCTCAGTGGCTTCATTTGGCAGGACTAGCTTTCGAATTATGTGTGTGTGGGCGTGCAATATGTACATGCCGTGGGAACAACATGACCACAAGTATATGGTGTTAGACCATGTGATGCTAGATTTGTCATGCCCTTCCATAAACAAACAGATTTACCTACTAATAAGGAGTCGTGTTGTAAATGTAGTTTGTGTCCTCCGTCACATCCTGTAATTATACACATTGCAGCTTTAGAAACATAACTGTAGCTGTCATGATGATAATTCCTTTTTTCCTTTCCTTCCTTCCTTACAGTGCTAGTGAAAGGTCGCTCACATAGTCCGTGCTATCGGTTCATGGCTCGTTCCGGTGATTGGGTATGGGTGAGGTCTAAAAGCTGTGTCACGTACGATTCTATCACTCACCTACCAAACGGTCTCTCGATTTATACCTGGATCGTAAGGTATGCAGAGTGTGTATAGTACTCCAGTAGTAGGAGTGACGCATGAAATATGCATTTAGCATCTTTATAATGCAAATATGCTATGCTTTAGGCATATAGTTGTAACATAGTGATTTGTATCGTGTAATTCACTTATCGTTACTCTCTAGATACGATGAAGAGGATGAAAGAATGAAGGCCATTACTGAAGGCAGGGACCCTGGCAGCACTGGAGTAAAGGACACTGCTGCTCTTCTCTCAGACTGCAACTCTTCCCTGGATATCAAAGGTCTCTGTGTTCCAAACTCTTCGTCTTCTCCTATAGCAGTTGCAGCAAATGAGTCAAAGCCACAGAAACCATCAAACCTGGTATCCCCAGAAGTATCACCACAACCTCCTCCTAACATTGTAAGGAATACATAAAATGCATGTATATCCAGAGTATTATCAAAAGTATTATCATGTTCTCTGGGTATTATTCAATGCATCATAATGGAATTACTTATCTCAGCTGGCTTGATATTACATAATAATAATAGTAGTAGTGTTCACAGAGTCTGTGTATGCATATATTTATTGGTTGTAGTAAATAAGACGACCACTATCAAATCAATCACTACATCTCGCTAATAATTACCATTATCTCTTACTAGAATCCATTCCATTCTCAGTCCAGCCCTCCCGCTCAAGCTAGTGGATCGCCATTTGGCACTCAGACAGTTTCCCACGATCCATTCATGGGCGTTATTAACGGGAGCCCAAACAGCACAACCATAGTAAGTGGATAGTAAATATCACACCAACTCTCTCATGCACTTTCGACTTAATAAGGTCGTATGGCTTAGTTTACATTATCTCCAGTATTGTATATTTATTATTCCTTCTTTCATTATTATTCTTTTCTTGTATAGTCTTCTCCATACAGCAGCTCTTTTGGTAGCTGTGGGCGTAAATCATCGCTAGATCAAATGTCAACACGAGAAACAACTCCTCCATACTCCAGCTATCCTTCGTACTCAGCCACACCAAGTGGTAGTCCTACCTCCTCACTCAACAGAAGGAGCTTGAGCCCCACAGAAACAGTCGGCTATTACAATGGATCACCGACTACCATAATGTCCCCGCCTTATTCTGACCCTTCGTACGGGAGCTTCCCTTCTCTCCCTCCTCCTCCTCCTCCTCCTCACCATCAGGCGCCATACCAACACTACAGCCCTTCATCCTTTACTGTCGATACCACTGTCTACATGTCACCTCCTACTGGCGAGTATCCGCTACCCATTAACGGCAGAATGGATGGACAGTTGTACGGTATGCCTGCCCCAATGGTGGACGGCTTCTCCCTCAAACAAGAGCCAGGACTCCATGCTGGAGTAGGATTAGGGTCTTCCTGTGGTAGTTACGCTCAGTATGATTCTACTGGATACATGAGTGGACCGTATTCCATGGATCCTATGAGTTCATTCATGCCGGCCAATGGACAGTTTAGCACTGGGTCGAGGATTAAGGAGACTAAGTCTCGTTACGCTAAAGTAGGCGTGGCAGGCGGTCATTATAAGATGGGGGCGGAGATTGACGCGACATCGGCAATCAATAACATATCTGAATGGTTGAAGCACTAATGTAATGAACACTTATGAACAAAAAGCATACACCTGTACCAATAGACTCCTGTCTTCCCTCTCATCCTGTACCAGTTTATATGCCTACCCTTTTCTTCTCCCTCTCTCTCTCTCTCTCACTAGCTTTCAGTATTTCCATCACGTTACTCTTCAATGACTCAATCTGTATAAACTTATTATTATTAATAAGTCATGTAAAAAATATCATTATTGTTGTACTCAATTATCATTATTATTATTGTCATTGTTACAGTTCTTAATTTTTTCAAAAGAAATTCATAATTAACAAATTAATAAAAATAATACAAAAAGGGAAGGAAGAAGGGAGGGAGTCGACCATCAATACACACAAAGACACACTGTTAGTTGCTAATAATTATTGCTAATATGAGAAGCCAAATTATACTGATTACTGCTCCCATTGGGGACACCATCATTATAGAAGGAGAGTACGTGTGGAGGGGGTACACTGACTTCAAAGGAACCATTGATGACAGCACCATAAGGATTAGAGAGAGAAGGACCAGTAGAGTACGGTATATGACTGAGTGTTGGAGGCTGAGGTTGATTGTATCCTAATGGAGGGATATAGTCCATGGGGAGATTAGTGCCACCGTGGTACTCGTGATGTAATGGAGGCACTGCACTATTGCAGCCATTCATTTGAGGGAATGGTTGCTGAGGATTAGTAGGTAAGCCAGGGAAAGGGTATTGCTTGTTAGCTACAGGAAGAGAAGATGAATATGGACTAGTTGTAGGAGGAGAATAAACACCACCCATCAAAGGAGGGCCACCAGTCATTGGAACTGAAGGAGGATAGCCTCCAGCATGAGACGGTGAATACGCAGGCATTGTAGAAGTGGAAGACATATTGGATGGTGAATACGCTCCAGTAAGAGGTACTGAGGATGATGAATATGCTCCAATGGAAGACATAGTAGATGGTGAATAAGCAGGCATAGTAGATGGTGAATAAGCAGGCATAGTAGATGGTGAATAAGCAGGCATAGTAGATGGTGAATAAGCTCCGGTAGAAGGCAAATTGGATGGTGAGTATGCTCCAGTAAAAGGCACTGTGGGTGGTAAATATGTCCCATTAGCAGCTACAGTTGGAGGAGTATATATTTCATTGATGGGAGATTGCATTCCTCCATTAGATTGAGAAGGGGAGTATGATATACCTAGTGATGATGATGATGGTGAGTAGGCAGATAAAGGAGAAGAGCCTACTCCACTTGGCTGAGCTGAAGGAGGAGTGTGGACAAGAGACTCAACTGCTTGAAGTGAAGCCGACTCAACATCAAAATCAGGAGAAGAGTGTCCAGTAGTAACATCACCAGGAGGAGGGGCTGGATTAATGATAGAGGAAGGAGAGGAGACAGAGGACTCAGAAGGAGTGATATCAGAGAGAGGGGAAGGTTTAGGAGAGCTATAAGAGGAGCCTGATTGATTGGCAGCGATGAGTGACGTCATGGGGTCAGGCTGGGGAAAAGGCGGATTATAATTTGGAGGCAAACCTTGCGATGTCTCATATTCAACGACAGCATCCCTCACCTCAGGCCAGGTTGCTAAACGCTGAAGACTGAGGGGGATAGCAGAAAGTGCTGTCTCCCTACCATGGAGCAACACATCACGTACTGCCACTGATACATTAGTGTCTTCTATTGATTTGACAACTGCCTCGGGACTTGTGACTTTTGGTGTAGCAGGAATATCGAAACGACTGTCAGCATGAATACCATTCCCTTCTGTTGGCTCACTACATTTACCATAAAGCTCCTTCTGCTCTATCATTTTCACAGACTTGTCAGAAGCACTAAAAAAACAAAAATTTCATGATTTATATCTCACCCTTTCATCTACTTCTTACCAAACCACTTTGAAGGTAGCCTCGAGGTATTTCGGTGTGCGGTTATCTTGTTCATATCTGACGAGTCCTTCAATCTGGACCCATACCCATTCACCAGTGTGAGTCATGAACCTAATGATGGGACTAACTGCCTGTCCTGTGATTAACACTACAAGAGGAGAGAGAAGAGACATCAGTACATTGTGCTATGCATGTACATGTACATGTACGTGATGCTTTAAGAGAATCCTTGTGATGAGTATTACATGTACATGTACAATGGCTTGCACATCTTATCTTACTCTGTCTTTATGCTTACAGGTTTTAAGGCAGTGAATGGAGCGACGGTTGTCAGCAGGGTGAAAGAAATTAGTGAGGACTGAGCCTTCAATGTCACTATTGAATCCAGTCACTGTCTTCATTCTAGAGAAAGAGATGGGGAGAGAGAGGGGGGGGAGAGAGAGAGAGGAGAGAGGGAGGGAGAGAGAGAGAGGAGAGAGGGAGGGAGAGAGAGAGGATCTTATAAAATCTCAACCTAATCAATTGTCAGTAGTACTTGGTGTCAATGTTGAGTATCTTCAAGTCCATTGTGGTTGTGCTAGTGAACAAAGTCTGCGAGACCTTCAGTTCAAGTATTGAGGAAGACGACTCAATCCGACGACACTCAGCAACTAGTCCAATCACAAGAGGCTCCCCCCCTCCTCCTCCTCTATTGCGTGAGAGCTTCAATCTACCAGAGACTTGCATCATCTGTAAAATAAATACATGTACATGCATATTGGGTGTACAATGTAGTATGAGAATCACATACTATAGTAATTGTGATACTGTTTGATCTCCCCATATACAAAGGGACATAGTACAGTAAATACACGTAGAAAGAAAATTAGCAGATAATTCATTTTTAAGAGTGACATATCCCAATCTAATATACATACAGTACTAAATGTGGAGTACATGTACTACTACTCCCCTACCCTTCAACTCATTGAGTATTTAATACTCCTCCTCACTCCTCTTCATTCATTCTACAGGTACATATACTCCTCCTTACTGAAGGTCACCCTATTAGACTCTGAGTGACGATTCTATCTCAACATTGTCAGACTCATTAAAACAGAAATGAAAGGGCTAATTATGCTTTAAGAGGAAACGTACAGACAAATTAAGGATCAAGTGATGCATTGGAATGAGTACATGTATACCTACTAGGCTACTACAGTAATATGTAACATAGAATCTGTGTGTGGTTTCTGTGTGATGTCAGAGTGTGTATATCCTTACCACTGTCCCACCAAATTTTGATAGTTGCTTCTTGACCGGAGCAATTGATGTCTTGAATCTCATGTAGAAGTGACGTGACTGCTGGAGCTGTAAAGAACCTGAGAGAGAGAGAGAGGGGGGGAAGGAGAGAGAGGGAGAGAGAGAGAGAGGGAGAGAGGGAGAGAGGGAGAGAGGGAGAGAGGGAGAGAGAGAGGAGAGAGATAGAAAGAGAGAGAGGGAGAGGAAGAAAGAGAGAAGGAGGGAGAAAGAAAGAGAGAGGGAGGGTGGAAAGTAAGTGGGAGTTTTAGGCATTGAGTGATTTAATAAAAAGCAAACAAGAATCAATACAACTTGGTGCATGTGTACAAACAAACTGATCATGTGTCACTTTAAAGGTAAAACAAAAACAGGATGGCATGCCAATGCTATTAGCAAAAAGCATAACTTTGTTTCAGATATTCAGATACATACACACACGCATTTAATGAATTCTACAAACAGGAAAACATGACAGGAAAAACATGTTGCACAGTGTGCATGTGTAAGTACATGTATGCATTTTCAGTGACTGCTCAAGTGAAAGTTTCAATTCAATAAAGAGAGTCCCTTACTTTAAAGAGATTAATACTGTAAACATTCATAACAATGACACAGCATTTCAAGAATGTTTAATAATAATAATAATAATAATAATAATAATAATAATAATAATAGTAATAATAATAATAATATGTACATGCATATGCAGCAGCAAATACTGCATACTATTATGTTCTATAATTTATCTGTCTATTTTAAACTCAGACACACATACATGTATATGTATACTCAAGAGTAGATGATAGTTAGAGAGAGTGTCGAACTGCACTATGCTAGCTGGAATATGACCGCGTAGAACTTTCTTGCGCATCTTTGGGCATTCCCGCATACTGGGTGTGGCTGAGAAGAATAAAATGGTTGCCTAGTTTGCTCAACAAGGTTTACTGGCCGTTTTGGAGTCTCTGCTATAGCTGTACTGCATGGCAGGCTTCAGCAGGATTATAAAGTGTACTAGTATGATGTCTACAGCTTCTTCAAGTGTTCTCCACTGTTCCTTATGCAAACTTCTACATGTGCTTTTAGTAGGTACACCCACGCTTCAGGTCTCACGTGACTTAGTTCTACGCGGTCATATTCCAGCTAGCATAGTGCAGTTCGACACTCTCTAACTATCATCTACTCTTGGTATACTGTATATGCATTTCTATTGATACATATTTCAGTAGATACAGCAGCACAGTATAATGAGAATGCATGTACACACATCTACATGTACTATGATGCTACACGTACATTCAAAGAGATTACATAACGCATTATGGAGTATGTTTCCCCCTGGGCACTGATTATGTCATCATAAGAAATAAAAGGAATTAATGACATTAATCTATATAGAGATAAGATTATCAGATTATAAGGAGCAATGAAGGATTCCTCATCACACACAATGGACTGTACACAATACACAACCACATGGTCACATTAGGCACAGACAACATCCCATACAAGCAAGAGAGAGAGGGAGGGGTGGGTCTACGAGAGGCAGCCAGTAAGTCTGGTAAAGTAGCAAGAGTTGTCACATTATAGGCAACAAATTGAATAAGAAGGAGATTAGAAGAGGGAAAAAGGAAAATAGAAAACTACACAAAACATACACACAAAAGTACTTGTTACATAGATACTATACTGTATACATATATTATATATAATGTGATAATGTATTGGTGATTCATTATCTAATCATGATCGAGTTTCTATATTTGATCATTGTGTGAGGCTAAATAGAAGCCATCGGATCAATTTAATGATACTACACAAAGTAATGACTGACAAACCTCAATGTAAACAAAATCTCATTAACTGGGAACAGATGAGCAGAGAGAGGGAGGGAGGGAGAGAGGGAGAGAGGGAGGGAGGGAGGGAAGAAAGAGGAAGGGAGAGAGGGGGGAGGGAGGGAGAAAGGAGTCTCCGCAGGAGCTTCCCACAAGCCATGCTACGTGAGCTTAACATGTAGATGTGTATCAAAAAGAATACAAAAATAGAGAATTCTCTCTTTGTGATTTTTGCTGTACTAATGTAATAGAGTCTCACAATTCACTGGCAAGAAGCTATGCCAAAATCATTTGGGAAACCCTGGGAAAGATTGGAGGGAGAGAGATGAGAAGGGTAATATATAATGTCTGTATGCATGCAGTATTGTGAGTATTCTTAAGAGTATACATGTAACAGTGCAATAACATTGTCTAGTATGTACACATACATGCATTTGTATACAGCTGCCAAATGTTTTAAGACACAAAAAAATTAATAATTATTAAACGCCTCGATAATAAAATGCTTTTTAGTCATATCGGCCGTCTTATTGAAATACTTTAAAAATGAATTTCACACAATCCTTTCTTCTAGATGGTGGGTAGGTGAAGGGGCATATGACGTATAAGTAAGACTCCCCCACACGATATGTACTAAGGACTCTCTTATTGAGCATAAACCACATCCAATTAGTGGACAATAGAATCAAACCAGCCAAAGCAGACAACAGCACAACAGGTGCTACGAGGCCATGTATAGTACTGCTGACGCCTAAAACCGCATCTTTAAATTATTATTATCATTACAATTATTACTTTAAATGAGGGAGCAATACCATTTGAGCAATCAATTTATGCTCATAAGAACTGCAGGATGCATGCATAGTATTGTATTGCTTCCATGAAAATAAATATTACAATCTCTAAAACAGTAATGGGACAAAGACAAAGAGTGATTTAGCACTAGGCTATGTATGAATTATCTAATTACATTACACTCCAACCCACGATAGATTTTCATAGTTATTATAACAAGGTATAAAACACACTTTGTACTAGTGAGTGTTGGGGTGATCTGGGGCTACACTCTCATCTTAGTAGCACTTGTCACAGTCTCTTGTCTCACTGGGGCTACACTCTCATCTTAGTAGCACTTGTCACAGTCTCTTGTCTCAGTTAGCATGCCCCAGTGATCCCCAACAAATAATTACTTCTTTTTTGATAATTCTTTTTCATTTCATTTTTTATCTCAGAGACACTTTACCCAGATTATTCAGCAATCAATATTTTAAATTGTTTCAAAAAGATAGTATAAAGCTAGTATTGCAAAAGCACATACACTTAATGACATCCTTAAAGGGAATGAGTAACACAAGGTAATTTGATCAATGTACAAGTATATTCATTGAAACCATATTGGGGGTATACCACTATACCATAAAAGACACTAAATTGGTTCAGACCAATAATCACATTGCCAGACTGAGGGGCTACTGATGGTAACTAGAGTCATAAAACCACGTCCCATAAAACCACGTCCCACTATGTCTTAATGATAATATTACCACATCCTCTAAGAACAATGTATTTCTCACATACATGACATAATAGGATAATAGAATTAAAAACCACAAGCATCATCATCATCATCTGTTATCACTGGATAAGAAATGATTGATCATTCATTAGGAGATATAAGTCAGCAGAGGAACACCTACATCTACATGTACATGTTAGAATTACTAAGTGACAAATTTTAATAATAAAAAAATAATACAGATACATGTACATGTATATTGTTGTACATGTACATGTTAGGATTTTTTTACCATAAAATAACAAACACCAGAAATAGTAACAATACATACAATTTAAATAAATAGATATAACGCATATACGTGTGAATGCCTGCATGTGTATGATATGAACTACAGAACATGTACGTTTTTCATTGACGTATAGATCAAAGGACAGCAATGCAGTACACATACACATAGAATAATTTATGATTCTTCTTCAAGAGGATTCTTATTGCTGATCCTTTGATGGAGGGGAATATCAAAATTAAATGGATTCAATTTATAAATAAGTCAACCTTAGATGTACTGCATACAGTGATACTTTCTAAGTAAAGTTATGACAAACAAATTTAAAAAATGTGTACATGTATATGTAACCAATCAGTTCTTATACTATAGAAGCTGATTTTAGTTACATGTGCCATTAAAATGACAATTATGTTCTATTGCAGCATATAATGATCTTTCTATACATTTCCCATAGCCTAAAGCCTTTAGGGAGATAGCCCATATCACAATGAATGAGTAGATGCAACCACAACAACTGTACATCATAAAAAATCTCTACCATTCTCCTCACCACATCAGGCCATTAGGACTAACCACAGACCAAATAAAAGACAAACTGGTTAACCTTATCACTAGCATACACACACACATTAAACTCATTAGTGAATGGAGGCCAGCTACAATGTACAATATTCCCACAATACAATACATCTCATCAGTGGTGGCTATAATACTGCACTATCATATGAAATGCCATATTGTTAAGAGTTTCAGCTATAGCAAAGATTGTTTTTGAATAGCTACATGCATACTTTAAAGGTGGAACATCCATAACTGCACAAAAATTGTCTACAGAGATGACAGAATATGATACCATTTAGACTACCAGTAGACTTTAGTGTCAGTTTAAGCACATACAACAAGTAAATGAGAAGAGAAACTGACACTGCATGGATATATATTAATAGTGTGAATAGTCACCAGTTGCTGGAGTGATAAGATTCAAACATTAAGCTATAGTGTTAACTAATACATTATATCAAACTGTATAATAATAATAATAATGGTAACAAACTTTTTAAATCACTATTACATAGTGTATTTTCTATACATTTTAACTGTCAGACTAATAATTGACACATTATACACATTAATAATTTGATAGCTGTCTATGGCAGCCAGAGACTATGCAGAGTATGCAGACAGTATTACAACACTGATTATCAGGTGGGTCAATAATGACTACTGATCAGTTGGTGTAAGACAGTGTAATAGGATTACACAATCTTTCATTCCCTGGAAATGAATAATAGCTGTGTATTATAGGATTACACAATAATAGCTGTGCATTATAAATGAGAAAAAGCAAACATATCATGACTATATGTGGGGTTTATTAGCAGGATCAGTTAAGGTTTGGTTTGATTTTTAACATGAATGAAATGAACCCAGTACTATACATGTACACATACATAATGTCTAAATGTTGTATGCATAGTACATGTACATCTAATATTATAAAAGTGACCAGACTGTGGATGAAGTACAAACAAACCAGCCAATCAGACACAGGAAGATACACCCTAACACAAATTCACACACTCTACAGGCTACATATTCACACAATTGAGACATATCACTTGACACAGTCACACTTTCATAATTACCAGAAACATTAAAATGCAACTATTTACTGGATGAGGTATACATGTTCATGTACAGTACATCATCATCATACAGGAAGGAAGGTACAAAATTCTACAAATGTACATGTACATAAAGTTATGAGATACATCATTCAGGAAACAAAGAGTATACATCATGTACATGTATTATGTATATGTACACGTATGTATTCTACAGAGAATTGGGAGATAGGTCATAATGTACTATCATACAGGACGTAAGTACAAGGAACTATGAGATAGATCTTCAAGGAAGGAGTACTTCCATTTGCATCACAAACTACACATATCATAGACATAAAATCACACAGACACACACACACACACACACGTGTATGTACACTGAATGGTAATTTTGGATGATGGACTTTTGACAAATTTGGTGTTTTAATAGCCATTTGCCAAAATAGAAGTATAAAACACCAAACCAACATCCACATTTTCACACTCGACACAAAATAATTCTTCAGAATAAAACCTGCCAATATTATCAAAATTACCAAAATCTAGCAATTCACCAAAACTTTATTCCCTACCCCAAGAATGTTAATGTACCATATACACTGGTTTATTTTTGCAGTGAAATATTTTCGCAAATTTTTGTGGTTTCTTACTCAGTCACAAAATTTTTCGACCACAAAATTCTGCATTTCCATATAGCCACGTGGTGCAGTCTGCAAGCTATTTGCGAAAATGAATCCTGTGAAATCTTAGAAATGCAAGATTCACAAAAAATTTTCTACCTCAAAAACAAACGGGTATACAGAATCAGGTATCCTCTTACCGTCAGGTTTGAGGCAGTCCTTGATGGCGGGTACATCATCTTCATGAGATAATTCATAAATTGAGAGACCAATAACCTCCTGCTGGCTGAGTCCAACAGACTCTGATATACCCTCAGACACAAAGACAATCTCACTATCTGATGACAGTATCAATAAGAACCCATCCAGTGCCTACAATAAGAGATATAATAATAATAATAATAAATACCGTACAGCTGGTTAATTTTGCGGAGAAAAATTTTGCGAATCCTTAAAAATAACCTGGTTTGCGGATTAAATAATTGTAGTTTTGACAGTTATTGTAGCATTATCTACTGTGGTCATGCATGAATTTCATTATTTTGCGGATTTTAATTTTGCGCTTTTAAATGGAATCGCAAACTCGCAAAATTTAATTCCCCGCAAATATTTCCAGCAATACGGTATATTGTTTAACTACATGTATATGCAATAGACTTTGCAATAAATGCATGTGTGCTTTGCTTAACTAATTTAAACAATGTCTAATATTTTTTGAATTCAAATATTTAAAGAAAGCAAAGGCTATATATAAACCATGGTTTTTTCAAATAATGGCTCTGAAATCATACCTAATTTTTATTACATTTTTCTGATACATATTGATGTACTTATGCTATGTAGAATGTTTGAGCTGTTTCCAACAAATATTTTTCCAGTTATGAGCATTTTTAACCATAAGCCAAACTTTAATAAATACCCAAGGCTATAGCCCAGTGATAAGTAAACAAAGCCCTCAAAAAATTTATTATATAAAAAAAGAATAGAAATAAACATGTACATGTAAGTTAAGGAAAAACAAAGCAAAAATTAAAAAATAGGTTAAGGTACAGTTAGATACACAAAACTAAGAAATGATAAGAAAAAATATAATAATAATAGCATGTTTTTTTTTGCTAAAAATGACTCTAAATCACCCTGAATTTTCATTACATTTTTTGATACATGTACATATCAATGTCCTTACACTATACAGAATGTTTAAGCTGTTTCTGACAATTATTTTTCGAGTTTTGAGCATTTAAAAAAATGAGCTAAACTTTAAAAAATACAAGGCTATAACGCATAGTCTTTTTTCAAAAAATGATTCCGAAATCCCCTAAACTTTTATTACATTTTCAGACATATATTATGTAGAAAGTTTGAGCTATTTCTGTCTAATATTATTTTTCGAGTTATGTGTATTTTAAAAAGAATACCATTTTCTGAAAAATAAATAGTCCATGGTTTTTTCCAAAAAATGGCTCCAAAATCACCTCCAATTTTTATTACATTTTCTGATGTATATTGATGTCCTTATGCTATGTAGAAAGTTTGAGCTGATTCCGAAAAATATTTTTTGAGTTATAAGAATTTTAAAAAATGAACCAAATTTTGAAAAGTACCCAAGGCTATAGCCCATGGTTTTTTCCAAAAAATGGCTCCGAAATCACCTCAAATTTTTATTACATTTTCTGATACATATTGACGTCCTTATGCTATGTAGAAAGTTTGAGCTGATTCCGACAAATATTTATTGAGTTATAAGCATTTTAAAAAATAAGCCAGATTTTGAAAAGTACCCAAGGCTATATAGCCCATGGTTTTTCCTAAAAAATGGCTCCAAAATCACCCCCAATTTTTATTACATTTTCTGATGTATATTGATGTCCTTATGCTATGTAGAAAGTTTGAGCTGATTCCGAAAAATATTTTTTGAGTTATAAGAATTTTAAAAAATGAACCAAATTTTGAAAAGTACCCAAGGCTATAGCCCATGGTTTTTTCCAAAAAATGGCTCCGAAATCACCTCCAATTTTTATTACATTTTCTGATACATATTGATGTCCTTATGCTATGTAGAAAGTTTGAGCTGATTCCGACAAATATTTCTTGAGTTATAAGCATTTAAAAAAATGAACCAAATTTTGAAAAGTACCCAAGGCTATAGCCATGGTTTTTGCAAAAAAAAATGGCTCCAAAATCACCCCCAATTTTCATTACATTTTCTGATGTATATTGATGTCCTTATGCTATGTAGAAAGTTTGAGCTGGTTCCGACAAATATTTTTTGAGTTATGAGCATTTTTTTAAATGAGCCAAATTTTGAAAAGTACCCAAGGCTATAAATGGTTTTTTCCAAAAAATGGCTCCGAAATCACCCCCAATTTTTATTACATTTTCTAATACATATTGATGCCCTAGTGCTATGTAGACAGTTTGAGCTGTTTCTGACAAATATTTTTCAATTTATGTGCATTAAAATGTACTGTTTTCTGAAAAATACCCAAGGATTTTGTGGTCATTAAAAAACCATGGGCTAGCTATATATAGCCAATGGTTTAAAAAAAAATGAATACAAAATCACTCCCAATTTTCATTATTATTATTTTCTGATACACACTGATATCCTTATTTAAAAATTTCAAACTGTTTCTGAAAAATATTTTTTGAGTTGAGGATTTATAAAAATGAGCCAAATTTTTAAAAATTCCTCCATAATTTTTTCAAAAAAATGACTACAAAATCACCCTCAATTTTTATTACATTTTTTGATACATATTGATGTAATTATGCTATGTAGAAGCTTAAGCTGTTTCCGACAAATGATTTTATTATTATGAGCATTTTTAAAAATGAGCAAAATGTTAAAAAAATATCTATGGTTTTTTTCAAAAAGTGACTCCAAAATAATTCCAAATTTTTATTACATTTTCTGATACGTATTAATGTCCTTATGCTATGTAGAGAATTAAAAAAATTTCTAACAAATAATCCTCAAGTTATGAATGAGCATTTAAAGAAGGGACAATTTTTTTTAGAAAGGCCAAAGTTATGGACCAGTGGAGTAAACCGGTATAAGAATTAAATGCCTCGTAGCATTGACAAAATAAAAACACCAACAATTACTACCATAGGGTGCCTTTTTCAAGGGCTATAAATTTAGCGGGTATAATAATTCGCTGTATTAAATTTTGCAATTTTATTCCCAATTTGAATTTTCCACACCCATTAATGATTAAATTGAGAAATTAATTTTTGTGAATAGCAACAAAATCCATAAAATCAGCAAAATATATAGCCCTCAAAAAAGGTGCCCTACAGTATATAAAGTCCAAAATATCATATTAATAACAGTGTGATTGCAATGTGACCTTTTATCACACAGTGTCTCAATAGCTACAGCAGTGTTTACATTAAAGTGTTTTTCTAAATCAAACTGACACTATCTTGTTTCTCTCATTGTTACTTTAACCTTTAGAGGTCAGACATTTCTCTGTCAGCAGTGGCGGTCATGGAGAGTATAAACATTAGAAATCGTAATAGGAAAAGGTGAAATTACATACGACAAGTGTAACGAAGACCAGTGTTTATCAAATATCCCTAACTACAATGAGTCACGTACATGTACGCTACACAAAAGTACAGCATAGTACATGTACATGTACAGCGTAGTACATGTACATGTATAGTCAAACCTCTCTAAAACAGCCCCCAATTAGCAGACCCTTCTCTATAATGAACAGTTGTTGTTTCCCGGCCATAAAGCCATTGGGTAGTGTATAAAAGAGCCCCTGTATAGCGGAACCACTCTATTCTGTATAACGGATGACATTTCACAGTTCCTCACACATTTGTAAATGTGTACAAATTCACCTCCAACAGACAAACAAGGCACAAGCAATGAGCTTTCTAATTAATATGGATCAAGAAAACGGAAGATTTTCTGGTCTGATCAGCACAAGGTAACCTCTGATTCAAGAGCACCTCCATATAAGGACATCATAGCAATGGCTAGCCCAAATGTATATCTTAGAGACGTTTGACTGTACGTACATGTACATGTACATGTATAATTATATCGAGATATGCAATTAAACCATTATCATGCAATCATGTAACAAATTACGATCAATTATACACTCTAGTACATGTTCCAAGACATGGAGGGTCATGCACTCTGAAAGATTAAGGCATTCCTTCGCCTCTTTCTAGACAGGTGGCAGGCAGTTAGAATCAAATTATTAGAGAGAGAGGGAGAGAGAGAGACCACCCAAAACCAACCTCACTTTGTTGTGGAGGGCACGATCAGATAATACCCCAAGAACATGATGAGAGTGGACTGAATGTTATGTACATGTACATGTATATATACAATGTACATGTACATGTATATATACAATGTACATGTTCATATTAAATACCGTACAGAAGGAAATTTTGGAGGGATTAAATTTTGATGAATTGCTAAATTTTGGTGATTGGCGAATTTTAATTTGGCGAATTTGTGGCCATGTGCCATTGAGCATGCGTATAATGGCTCAAAATGGTGAATTTTTATTTTGGCGAATGGCTATCAAAATGCCAAATTCGCCAAATTTAACTACCTCCAAAATTTCCTTCCATACGGTAGTGCATCCTTATATGATGTATAAGCTTTCTGAAAACAGTTTAAGCTAGCCTCTAATGTAATGGACACTTTAGAACAAGAAAGCTTGTCTGATATACATGTATATAGAGAAGTCTTTTAAGTGGAGGTAATTTTTAGAGTAAAGAATGTAATTTGTACACTAGGACTAGAGGTCCTCTAGAGGTCCTGTTTGTGAAACGGAGGTGTCTGTTAAATGGAGGGTGTCTGCTATAAAGAGAAGAGTCTACATTGTAAACAGTCCGTGTGTACATTGACATGTGCTAGACATGTGCACCAAGTGATAATCAATAGTGTAGGATTGATGTAAATATAGGCACATAATTAAATCACAAAGAATTTCCCAACGCTATTGATGCTAGAGACATCATGACCTGTCCTTTATTGGACTAACCAACTGGGCAATTAGGAGAGGCAAGGCTGAGCCAGGCAACAGGAAAACCATGGCAACCACTTTAGGGATCAACTTGACCAAAGGGAAAACAGGCAAACCTTAATTATAGCTTAAGGCTAACAGCCACATCAAAGTAAGGCTAGAATAATATGATATGATGATCATTGAGATTTAATCTGCATGGTAAAAAAAAATATTTAAAAAAATGCAAAACCTTTACTTATGTGTAACAAATACAGAGTTGAGTGTACACAATAATTATACTATGGGGAGCCATTATTCATTGCTGTATGCTGATGAGGTAAATAAAAGCACGAGAGATAAAGGGTCAAGTATTCCAGTGACTGTAAACATTGGCCCATTTTGTGTTTACTTTGCAAGTTTGCATGTCAGTCAGTCAATGATGTTGTAGTTGGCACAGAGATTAAAGGATTTCTTAAGCATAAGTAATGGGGATTAGTACATACTGTACTACATCTTGATCAATTATAGTTAGTGTTATTGAGAGAAAATTAAAAAAAGACATTATTAGTTAATGATATTCACTATTTATTATTGTCCAATAACAAATAGAGCTGTAATGATAGCGTGAAATCAAACAACTACTAGAGATGCATTACATTAAAGGCGTCAGGAATACGCCAACACATTAAACATGTGATGGAGTGATATGATGACAAATGTCAGCTACAGTAGCAGTGAAAGAATTTATGGAACTAAAAATACAATAAAGAACTACACAAGAAATTAATTATTATAATCAAGTATTGGATAAATGGTAGTATGGTACACAACACGATATGTAAAACTGTAGCCGCTTAATACAAACGCTATCAGGTAGATACATGTACATGAATGTGGTAAAGTGGTATACATGTAGAATGATGATGATGGATTACCCACAGTAAACATGTAACATCACCACAATAACATGTGGTGATGTACACAACTGAGGTCATTATTGTACTGCTTAATGTACATGTACATACACATATACACATGTACATGTACTTACCTCAGAAAAGAGCCGATCAAATCCAGCACCTGCTTTACTGTTATGATCGGATGATTCAAAAGCTAAGAGAGAGAGAGAGAGAGAGAGAGAGAGAGAGAGAGAGAGAGAGAGAGAGAGAGAGAGAGAGAGAGTGAGAGAGAGAACAAACAACCTAATTAATATGATTAGCTAAAAGTCCAAAGTCTACTAGTCTACCAGCTGCACATAACCACATTAACGACACCTTACATCCCAGCTTCCCACAGTCCTTTAGTCATGCACAGTATACAACAACACACACACACAACTAACAGTATGTAACTAATGCCCATATACATACACACTTACACTGTACATGTACATGTGCATCCTTGACTAGTTCACACATACCACACATGACGAAGTGAGACATAATAATTACGTCTACATGCCACTTCTAAAATTATATTTTTTTAAAGTCACAAACTTGGCTCGGAACCTACGAAACTATGTACGGTACAATGACTATACGAAATAAATGAAATTATATTAAGAAATGATTGATATGACTAGCAGAAACATTGCATAACATGTGTAACTGCATGCAAAGGGGCTGCTGACAAACACCTTTAAATGTTCTACATTCTTTTATCATTATTGTCTTATTCAATCAATACAATGCATTTTTATTCTGACAATAAATTAAACTACGCATATATACAAGTATACATTTATTTTATTTACCATTTTATTGTTATTAATATTATTTACTATTTTACTATGAACTTATGATTGGTAATCAGGGCAATGAATAGACTATGACAACTGACAATAATAACTTTACCATTTTAAGTAATTCTAAGTGAGTGACAATTACACATTAATTATTACAAATTTAATAAAGGACTTGCATATAATTACAGGACTGACCTGACTGCCAGAAGTTCTTGAATCTTAAATAAGCAGAGGTCAGCCTCAGCACGGATATTTTATCAATGCTCGAGCCTTTTTGAGACCAAGGGAGTAAAGACTCCAGTTGCTTGATCTCAGAGTTCTGGTTGCTCCTCCGCTTGTATGAAGCCTTGTGGGTCATCTTACCCTCAGCACTAGAGCTGAATAAAGAGAGAGAGGAAGAAAAGAAGGCTTACCTTTGTATGCTTACTACCGGCATGATTAAAAAACTAAAAAAGAGTTAGAGTACAAGACACAAGGAGATCACAATATCTAAAAGTGTGTATTGCTGACGAGACTAGGCTCTATGATTTAACTGTCACGTGACCAAAACTATATCCTCCCACGCATCTCCAGCCACACCTATCAAATGTATAATTAACGAGCCACACCCTCTGGATCGGTCCATATGCTCTTGATCTTCCGAGTTCTCAGTTCTGTGCTGCTGCTGAAGATGGAGAGGTCAACCAGAACAACTGCAGTGAAAAATGGCTACAGCAAAGCAGCCAATGGCAAGCCCCCAGCAGCCTCAGAGGAGAAGGTATCCTACATGAGCGCATACCCGGGCCTTATGGTGTCGCCTCTTCTGCTCCTCTGCCCCATATTCGGAGTTCTTTTTGTGTATATCATAGTCGAGCTGGATGGAGGGCTCCAGCAGCTGCTAAACCAAAGTGGAGCCCTCCACAAAATAATTGCAGACCATATCCTCGGCTCAAAGACATCATGGGCCATCATAGGCTCATTTGCTGCTTTCCAATTAGTTTTGATGCGAGTCCTACCAGGAAAGATAGTGGATGGGCCACTAACACCAAAAGGGAACACACCAAAATACAAAGCCAACGGAATGCTAGCGTTCATTGTCACACTACTGGTATTTTGCAGTCTGGCCTTCACAGGCCTAATCAATCCAGCCATAGTCTATGATAACTTCATAGACATAATTGGTGGTTTGACACTATTCAGCATAGTATTTGTGCTAATTCTGTACATCAAGGGATCCATTGCTCCCTCTTCAACAGACAACAGTGTCAGTGGGAACTTCATGTTTGACTATTTCTGGGGGACTGAGCTCTATCCTCGTATTCTTGGCTGGGATGTAAAGATGTTCACGAACTGTCGGTTTGGATTGATGGGATGGGCTGTCCTAATCCTCTGCTATGCATTCAAGCAATACAGTGTCTACGGGTTTGTGAGTGACAGCATGATTGTATCAGTTGGTATACAACTAGTGTATATTGCCAAGTTTTTTCAGTGGGAGATGGGATACATGAAATCACTGGACATCATGCATGATCGAGCTGGATTCTATATTGTAAGTAACTGTATGATTTTTATAAAATTTATCCTTCATGACATTATCAGTAGTGTGTGTGTGTGTGTGTGTGTGTGTGTGTGTGTGTGTGTGTGTGTGTGTGTGTGTGTGTGTGTGTGTGTGTGAAGTTCTATGTGAAATACTTTATTAAATGAAAATTATGTTCACAGTCTGTAAGTGACTGTTGTATTGAGCTTATTTGGGGAAAATTTATTGTATTCATATCTGCTACATCCACTACTGACATTATGTGTTTTGGCATCGCTAGGATAAATACTGTTTGTGTACATATATCACTGCCAGTATGTTGTTGCTTATGTAATAAATTGCTCTCTGTTATCTTTATCATTTGGCAGTAAACACTGAGTGATTAAATACAGTGTGATAGTTTATCAATAACTGCATTAGTTGAATGATTATACAAAGGTATTGGAAATAAAAGTCTAGTCACTAATTAGTAATAAACCTCATTTGCAGTATATTTATGGCTGCATTTTCACACTTCTGATATAGATCTAGATTAGATTTTGACAGAAATTTGAGCCCTGGGTCCATAAATTCAGTGAAAAGAAAAACTTTACCATTGTTTGCACAAAAAATATCAGATATGAAAACAAAGCTGAAATAACTAATAATAATAATAATAATATACATGTATTCTTCGGACAGTATGGCTAAAAGGAATGTGGCTTAATTAAAGTGTGGTTTAAAATGAGAGATATGACACCTGTGACAATAACTGATATTCATAGCATGCATCATGCCATTTATGTTACATAATGTGACATTATTACAAACTATTTTCTGCTTCTCCCCTTCCCCCCCCCCTCTCTCTCTCTCCTTTTCTCTTTCCAATAGTGTTGGGGATGTCTTGTTTGGGTTCCTTCAGTATACACTTCACAGTCTCTCTATCTCGTTAAGCATCCTAACGAACTGGGGCTCCCCCTTGCCTCCCTCATCCTAATAGCTGGTATCCTATCAGTCCTCATCAACTATCAGGCCGACTATCAACGCGAGCTAACAAGAAACACAAACGGGAACTGCCTCATTTGGGGCCAGCGACCGAAACTAATACAAGCCACTTATCAGACAAAAACAGGCGAAACTAAAAAGAGCTTGCTGCTATTATCCGGCTGGTGGGGAGTAGCACGCCATTTTCATTACCTACCTGAGCTTGGAACTGCTTTCCTGTGGAGCGTACCAGCTCTTTTTGATAATCCTTTGCCTTATTTCTATTTTGTTTTTCTCACCATATTGCTAGTACACAGGTCAATGCGTGATGATGAGAGATGCAAGGAGAAGTATGGAGACTATTGGAGTGCCTACTGTAAGGAAGTGCCTTATAAGATAATACCATATGTCTTCTAGAGGGAGTGTAGGAGGAGGGTAGATAGTACTAGTGAATTATTTAAACTTTTAGTTTTTAAAGTTCAAGTTAGCTTTTCACTATAGTTATCGTTAATATGCTATTAATTTATTATTATTATTATTATTATTATTATTATTATTATTATTATTATTGCTATTATTTATTAATGTTGTTGTAATTAATATTGTTTATTTTACTAATAATGTATTTCTTAGAATTAAGAATTTTAACACTCAATTCCTGCTAATAGACACACTATTATAAAGATGAAAGGTGAATTATGACAAGAGTCCTTTGTAAAATAATATATTTATTACCTGAGCAATTTGTGATCAGAATCAGCTTAAACTTGACGTAGCATAGTTAGCAAGATGGCATGATATTATTAATTTTATATCGGCACAACTGAATATTATTAATAATTATTCACAACATAAAGCATTAATTATTTTTACAAATTTTACAAAATAAGCTATTGATTTTCACAGTATACATGTATACTCGCAAGCCAAAGCAAAACTCAAAATCTAAGAGTTGAAGGTCTATATGCACATGAAAGTGATTAGATGATGAAGGAGCCCACAACTAATCAGTTTTAAAAGATAAATTAATAATAAATTAATAATCATCATGGCACATGGCACTAAAGGGGTCATATTTCACTGAAAATAAATTTTGTTTTTATTAAAAATTTTTGAACAAATCTGCAAAATTTTATACCAACAAAAATACAAAATAAACCCCCCAAACGGTATCATGATTATTATTGACATTATCAATAATAATTATGATAATACTGTACTATGATAATTATACACACTCCAATAATAACAGCAAAAATAAATAATAATATAATAATAATAATATGTTGCAATTTTGTCAGAACCACAAAGCAATTTTAAAGCCAAGTACTAAATTTATTGGCAATAAAATATATTTTTTAAAATTGTCTGAAATGAATAGGTTAGCAGTATAATTTTGTTGGCTAATTTATGTAACGCTGGAAAAAGTGTAGTTTACTTTTTGAAAATTATTAATCCCCAAAATTTTTTGTTACATACCTTAAGGAGACAATTATTAGCATGTACACATACTTATATTAGCAATTTTCATGATACTGAGATTTGGCTGGTATTTAATTTAGCATTTTGATCATTTAGCTATTAATAATTTAAACAGAAGTTAAAGTTAGTGCAACCTTAATTTTGTCGGTCAAAAATTTTGTCAAAATCTTAATTTCTTGTTAAAATTAATTTTTGCTAATAAAATTTTCGTCACTTTTGTTATTAGTCCGCATACTACCCACACGGAACAAAAATTTTGTTGGTTAAAATTTTCGTCAAACAAAAATACCAGACAAATTTGACAAAAGTTTTGACCGACAAAAATTTGGAGCTATACGGTAACCTCTGTAAGGATTGCCTGCTCAAGAGACAAATTTCCCAAATAATACTTGCACCGATAAACGATCTTTAGGTATTTTAATAATCTGGAATGGTTATTTTAAATGCGATAACAATTAAATTAAAAACCAGATAATAATTAAAACTCATCTATGTTTGTTAGTTTTTGCTAGTCATGTTTGCATTGTTGACGATGAAGAGTTTGGCAGTTCTGGAGCCGAGTTTTCTCTATTGGCTTGATCACGTGATAAATGGGTGTGCCCATTCCTCCGAGATGACTCGAATATCTGAAGGCAAGTACCTCGTCTCATTTGCTTAGCTAAAGAAGAAAAAATAAAGAAAAAAATGAAGTGCTACAATCATTGGAATCAGATATGAGGGTAATTACATGTACATGTAATACCGTATAGCGGGAAATTTTCGAGGATAACAAATTTCGCGAATTTCACGGATTTTTTCGCGAAATTAAAATTTCTTGAAAATCAATTTAATACGATACAAGATGGGAGATTAGTGGAAATTCACAAAAATTAATTCCGCGAACTTCCGGATACGGGTCATTCGCGAAATTTATTATCCTCGAAAAAACCCGCTGCTATACAGTATACGTGTAAATGTATATTAAAAAGTACATCAAACATTTTAGTGCAGTTTTGAAGAAAATTTAAAAACTTTTCTCATTTTTAATGACATTTGATTGCAAGTCCAGTACAGGGACTTTGTTTGATTTTGAAACACTTTTAGATAAATTGATAAGAAATCTAATTTTGATCGGAATCTGCTCAAACTTACCACACAACATAAGAACATCAATATGTATCAAGAAAAAATATATAAATGGAGAAATCTCTCTTTTTCAATTTTGGTAAAATCTGGCCCAAGACCCTGTACTGTACAGAGACTTTTGCCTGAGTTTTGAACAACTTTAAAAATTAATTTAAAAATCCAATTTTGATTGGAATGAGTTCAAAATTTCTACGCAAAATAAGTACATGCATATGTATCAGGAAAAAACATTTCAAAAGAGATTTCTCTCCATTTCAATTTTTGCAAAATCTGGCCCGAGACCCTATACCATAGTACTGGGATTTTCATCAAATTTTTGAGCAACTTTTAAAAATCTTTTAATTAGAATCCACTCAAACTTTCTACACAATATAAGTACATGTATATGTATCAGAAAAAATTACAAAACTTGTGAATTCAGTCCTTTTTAATTTTGGCAAAAACTGGCCCAAGATCCTGTACTATAGTACAGGGACTTTGGCCTGATTTTGGAGCTACATAAAAAATTCACAAAAATACAATTTTGATCAAAATCAGCTTAAACTTTCCACAAAACATACATGTACAGTGTACATGTAAATGTATATGTACCAGAAAAAAATATAAACATAAAAAATTCCCCAAGCCATTAAGCTAAAGATCCTCTACTATAGGACTTTAGTCTGATTTTGAAATTTTTATAAAAAATCTATTTTAATTGAAATTAGCTCCAAATTAATACATAACATAAGGACATGTATGTGTATCAGAAAAATTATAAAAATGGAGAATTCTTTTGGGAGCCATTATTCATGAAATACCCTGTACTACATGTACATGTACATGTATTTGGGCAAATTTTGGAGGCACTTTACAAATTCCTGAAAAAAATCCCAAAATTAGAATCAGTTCAAACACAACATAAGAATATGTACATCAAAAAGAACTAAAAAATGGCTTGGAACATATTTTTTTAAAAACAAATTTTAGTCACAGTTTTATGAGATGCCCACAACTTGAAATAAATCTCTATGATCAATTCCAAAACAAATATTAAAAAATAAATTAACAACAAGTACACATAAAAATAAATTTTTATATTGTAATGCTACTCAAATACCACGTTACACAGTAAAAAATATAATAATTGAATTTGGAGACAAATAAAATGCATCAGAATTGCTATGACATCAATGGTGATGTCATAATGCATCAGACACTAACCCCTACACACCAATCACACGCAATATCATCACTTGCTTCACTAATATTATGATTTGAATGATTAGAGAGCATTATCACATAATTAATCACTAAAGGCCTTTTCACACTGGCATAGTTTTCAAAGCGCTGTGATGCGCATTGATCATGTTCACACTAGCAGCTGGATCATGTATCATTTTGTGTTCTTGTCGCCATTGGTTTACATTGATCGAAGCGCATCACTTCACATCAATCCACCTCTGGAGGTGAAGTGAGACTGATACATCAATTGAAAACCACTCTAGTGTGAACACAATTAATGAGCATCAATGCGCATTACTTGTGCCAGTGTGAAAGGCCTTAAGATATGCATAGGAATATTCATTCAATCAATGCCCCTAGAGATAAAAACAACCAAATATATTAAATCTAAAACTTTACTGTACTACCTTAAAGTGACTTTTATTTGCAGGTACTAAATTTCACGATTGCAGTGTACATGGTAGATTTGCTGGCATTAAAAATTGCAATTAAGTAATTTTTACTAATAGCTATACAGCCTATACAGCATAATTATATATAATAATTGCGGGTAATAGTAATTGCAATTTTTAACCTGAACACAAAATTTGCAGATTAGTAGTGCCTGTATTTAAAAGTACAGCTATTTGCATAGATCTTGCAAACTGCCAAGTAGGTGGTAATGTGACCACACAATGCAAGACACACCTCAATTTAGACAGTCTCCTTTGAAGTTCATAGATTGGTTTGCAAGGTCTGTGCAATTTGCTGTAACCTTAAGGTACGTAATGTATGCAATCATCATTCCAACACCTAGATATTGGTGCCTCTTGATAGTGCCTTATTAAATATACCAATTTAGTAAAACAAGCTCAAATGCATCTTTGTCATTGTAGCCTAGTTATCACCAGTGACAAACAGAGCGTACAATGTCATGAGTGTCAATAGTCAATACTATACAGTTACAAACACAGACACATACAAGTCATACAAACAAGATTAAGGTGCAGACAGACATATCAGGCTCAAAGGGAGAGGAACATGCATACAATCCTTCCTGTGCATCTGTGGATACATTACAGTTCCATGAGATTTTCAATTAGAGTTTAAATCATTAGACGTGGTAGTATGTAGGATTAGCAAAACAGGGTTAGCTCATGAGGGCACACAAACATTAATGTCACCAATCATCAATCCAATGAATGAGCATTGTGTAGCTTATTAATCAAATTAAGAGGGGAGAGGAGGGAGAGAGAGGATGTGAAAAGAATTTACAGCTTGCAAACAGTACAAGCTGTTGTTCAATGTCGCTAAAGAAATGGACATTAAAAGGGGGATTATTAATCATAACAACCAGAACAACAACAATAATAACATCCAGAACAACAAAAATAATAACAACATTCAAATAAACGTAAATACAACACAAAACAATAGCCAAACAATCACGCATCACTGAACATGCATAACTGTAATAAATACATGCATGTGTACATGTACATACAGTACAACCATTTCATGTAGTTCTACATGTACATGTACATGTACAACGTAACTAATAAAGCAGTGAGAGGTTATTGTAGATTACATAATAAAAAGGAGCACAGCGAATGCATGTCTAGTCAATGGGCGTGTGACTTATCCTATAATTATTATGCAAATTACAAATTTACCCTACATACATGTACATACATGTACATGTACATGTAATGAATACATACAGTATTACTATATCCTTATTACAGCATATTATATAATGTTAGTCAACGTGTACAAATATACTAAATAAAAAACCAGACACTCAATTATCTGTAATAAGAATCCTGACTCATAGTCTATCCATATGGCCCCATCAGTGATAATGTTTATCAGTCAATGGCTTCTAGCTGTCAGACGCCAAGAAACACCAGTAATTGATCCGTGCCAATTGTCTTCAACCAAACAACTCATTCATTACAAGGGCAGCTGTGCAGTACAAGAAGTATAGGCTATACACTGAGGTTGAGGCTCCTATGGGATCTACTTACCAAGGGACGTAGTCCAGAGGTTAATAAATGCCATAGAAACCTCAATATAATAATAATAAGCCATAGATACATGCATAATAAAAATAAGGACATACAAGTGATATGCATCTCATTAATTCTCTCTCTCTTATACACTCCTTACTGCATACATTTCACTTAATATTCTTCTATGCTGTATATGTAGCTTCTTATATTAGTATAGATTGTAGTTTCTTTTATAATAAATAATAAGACATATCTTAGTTACTACAAGCATAAGAGTGCCTGCCAGTCTTGATACTGAAGAGAGAGGTACTCTGTGTTATTATTAGTAGAAATGTCAAGTCAGGGTAAGCCCATTACTCATTAAAGAAATACACATTTGAAGGCAGACACAAACAAATAAAGATTGCATTGATGCTATCATCATTATCATAAGATTACTGATTATATGGACAGTGCCAGTTACAGCTTGGTAGAGATAACAGCATTGCTAGGACATGAGTAACGCATGACGTGTCTTTTCTGTTATATTGTTTTTGGAAAATGAGAATCCTCGATAGACAATCGGTAAGAGGTGTCGTCATTGTAAACAGCTCATTGCTTAAAGAGGGGATTCCTTTTTCAGGTTATCATTCCTGGACATAAGCAACTGCTGTTGCAAGTATTGTTGGGACAGCTGCTTTTGTTTGTTGGGCATTTTAAAAGAATGTAATGTTAGTCTAAAGTCATTCAATACTGAATAAAGCTTAGAAAAAACAAACCATTGAGGCTCTGATGGTGATAAAAACAGCAAACAGACACAGCAAAATAAAGTATACTAGATATGGTACATGTGTAGGTAAGTGCTCGCATACGTGCATGTACATTGCAAAGTACATGTACATGTACTTTACAATAAACAAGTCATGAATGGAATTAGTCAGTACATACTTTCTCTGGAGATGATGCACGTATGCATGTACATGTACATGCATACATTTGGACATTTGTACATGTGAATGTGAGTATACGTGTTTATTTGCATCAATTATCATTACAATACTAATTATCACAATATGCTCATATATCCTCTATGAGTAGATCTATCATCTTCTAAATACTATACATTACTACAAGGCTCATGCAATTAGGCCTATATGGATGTACATGTATGTACATGTACATGCATAGGACTAGACACTAGTCGAGTGGTGTAGTATACGCAGTATCAAGTATCATGATACTCTTGTGGAGGATCCATTACGAGTGATATCACTGCAAAAAACATGGAGCTAACATGATTAGCCCGAACCTAAATCCACCGGATGATATAATAGACCGACAGACGCCATCCAACCATCCCGTTAGTGATGGAGCCATTCTCTGAATACTATAGTACAGGCAATTAGTGGCAAGCGATTGGATGGAAATACTGTACATGTAAAGTACATGTAGACATGCAGGCAAATTAACATAAAACTAATATAAATTATAATACATGTGGATCGTTAATACTATGACGTTTGTAAAAAACAACTTAATGTCAATAGCATCCTATATGAGAGTGAGAGACAGTTTGCTGTAGTAGGCCTAATATGGAAGAGATTCACAAGCCAACAGGTGTCCAAGTAAACTCAGAGTGGGCCCAACAAATCTTGTCGGAGGTCTAGTAAACTTGACATTACGAATACTTAAAGGAAAGAGTCAGACTTGTTGAAAATGTTAGACGCAATTAGTCTATTCATGAGAGCCCATAGGCAGTAAATGGAAGAGTTGGCTTCAATTATTTGAGCTCAATCATGCAGGAACACACCCAATTTTAAAGGTTTCTACTTTGCTGTCAGGACATTAATTTTGCTGACAATTGTTGCATTAGAGGCACTTTAAGCACACATTACATCAAAAATAAATGTAATAATGATGAGAGCAGAGACAAGGGAGTTGCCTTTGCATCACTTACAGGAATAAGACTAAACAAAGGGTTAATACCTTCCTTTAAAATAAAAACATCAATACAATTAATTATTCTTAAGATAGGCTTCACCCCAGAGTAACAATAGGTTGATAACGGAGCCATACATAACACACAGACATTGTGCATAGACTTTAAAATTGACACGTGCATACATGTACATGTACATTTGTGACATACATGTACATGTTAATTGTGACCCACAGCTATTAGCATGTTAATCTATTCATTGTCTGTCTGAGCAGCTTTCTTAATCACAGGACAAATTAGTTTATAGTGTCTAGGAACTTTTGCTATCCAATTCCCCAAGTATATTTAGAATACCTTCACAAAAGACAATTACACATGTACATGTACTAGAGAGTAAAGGCATTAATGGGGTCACTGGAATGATTATCATAATCTAATATGACAGTCTACAAGACACATGACTACTGTCACAACTGAATATTATTTCAATCTTTATAGATATAATAATTATAGCAATAATACTAATAACAATAACTAGAAAGAATGTAAAACATTAAGGAGCTCAGCCTTGTAGATTAGTAGCTGCTAGAAAAGCAGGACCTCTACTTTATGTTGCTGCTAGAAAACTCTCAACTTGTCCGTTGCTTTAAGGCCTTGTTTGCTACACTGTCTTTGAAATAGCCAAGAGATATCAAAAGGCTGGCCAGTTTGTACACATGCACAATAAAATGAATAGACACACATCATTGAATAGTAATGTTTACAGCTGACGTCAATCAACCTTTAATTAACAACATCCACAAAAGCTCATTCTGCCTATTTAACTGACACGGCATTTAATCATACAGTCATGTGTGCTAAACAGCTAGCGTCACTCACCATCACTGATAATAATATAAAGCCCAATTTTAAATGAAACACGTGGTTATACTTACAAGTAGTCTTTAACACATACAGACTGGCCACCTGTATTGGACACAACCCAAGACTATAGTCAGTATCTTGATATTATGTTGGACAGTGTAAATGTAACCTGAAGACATTGAACAATAATGTGTTGATAACATCACTTAACCACTAGCTCTTACCATCAGATTATTCAGTCACTGCCATAATAATGCTAAAGACTATGATAAAAATAATAACAATGTATAATAGTAAAGCTTGGCCTGAAAAACATCCTACTACATCATCATAAAGTACATAATAAATCAAAGACATCTGAAAATTTTGATTATGATGATGATGATGATGATGATGATGATGAATACAAAATAAATGTTCTTAAAAATTGATTTATAATAAATTATACTGTTTGTCACCTCATATTTACATGTAAATGCATGTACATGTAGGCGTGAAGCATGCCTGGCATACATTAGCTCATAACAAGCAGCAACCAATTATCCACTCAGTCTGGCTACAGACATATAACATACACAACTTCAGGCATAACATTATGTAATAACCACTAATGAACAAATACTAAACCAGTACTGGTTGCTTCTAGAATAGCTGTCAATAAAAACACACAGAGAGGGAGACCAGTGACAAACCAGTGAGAGTAACGTAATAGGAATAAAGATCAAACGAAAGAGAGAGAGAGAAAAAGAGAGAGGGAGAGTGACGTAGAACATCATTACAGTCTCATTATGAGTCACACCAAACATACTGGTGTACATGTATATGTACATGTACATACATGTATGCATGAGCTAAAGCTAATAATAAAAATTCAAGAGAGAAAAAGGAATAAAAAGAAAGAATTCACCATTCTTATTGATAGCTTAGAGTCATGACCCATTACAATGCCTCATCGGTCAAAACACATTCCTAATAACAGCTACACATGTAGCAGCGCCAAAGGGAACATTGAATGGTGCCCAGCACCTACATCTACATGTACATGTACAGTGCATGTGCCTAATAAGTACATGTACATCCCACATGTAACAGCCTATGTACATTGTGAATTGAGGGTACAAAATAGCTCAATTAGAGCAGGTATACCATATTCCACTTGCCCTCTCCTTCAACAACAGCTACAATACAATGTACATGTTAGAAAACACTCATTGATCCAGACATAATGTATTATAATTACAGACTGTAGGGCAAACACACACAAAGTGGAGATATCATAAGAGCAGAATCCAAAACAGCAATTATGAAATGAAATGCAAAATAAATATAAGAAATGCAAAATAAACACATATATACATGTAAGACCTTTTAGAGTCATAAACAAGATGGCAATATTATAAAAAACATCATAACATTACAGTGTCATGTACAAAGATATACACAAGTTATATATAGCATATCATATCATATCATATCTACATGTACATGCAAATAAACTATAATCATCTCCTGATATGCCCATACCATGCAACACGCACTCACGCAGACATAAGTGATTTAAATATGCTACAGATGTCTCTAATCTCCCCCTCACTCTCTCTCCCACTTGATGGACTGTACACTAGCAATACACGCATCTCTGACTTTACACTTTGGCATTAACATAGCTAAAGATTCATTGCCCATTTAGAGCTTGAGTGAGAGAGAGAGAAGAGAAGAGAAAAAAGGGGGAGAAGACAAAACCACGCATACCAGCAATAACAATGCTGATACTATAATGATACATGCATGTGAGTGAGTGAGAGGGACTACTGAACCTTGTCTTGTTATTGATGCACATCAAAGAGGAGTTGGCATGCCTGGACAATACCAATTAGTCAGACCTACATTAGAACCACCTCGTCTTCTTGTACATATCAACACTCATCAATAACAAAAGGCCTACTTTGATGATTAGTGCAGGCAGGCATAGCTACAGTACATGATACATGAATACATGATGTATGTGTGTAAACTACCCACCCATGACAAGAGGAGCATACTATTAAACATGTCTATGTGAACCGGATAAGCAGATCAAATGCAACGCTCATGGCAGTAAGACATGCACATAAACAAGCATATAATCATGTGATGTAATATCATTATTCTACAGATAAGTACATGTCTATTATTGTCAAAAGGAGTGCATGAGTATACATACACTGGTAGTCACATAAACTACAGATAACAAAGGGATTAGGAGTAAACAAATATTAAGAGGCTTTTGATCAGTTCTATAATTGATGATGTCATTCTAAACTTTTGAATTTATTCTTTTGATATTATTACTTGCAAACAGGGTCCAGCTGCACTTGTGCCTGTACCTCCATCAGAAATAAGTCCCTTTTGAACTCCCTCCCTATCCACAATGCATGGACATGTAGGCGAATCATGCTCTAATAGTAAATATCCTCAAGCAATGATACATTTAAATGGATTAGGAGAGTATAGCTCCATGTTGTCTATCAAACAAACACAAGCTCACGCTCTAGTACAACATACGCACACACTTGCTATAGACACACTAACATGGAAAGAAAATGAATTTGTGATGCGTCTATTGGGAGCTGTTAAAAGATTAGCGTAGACAATGCAAGTATGGTCGACACATACTTTGAAATATACATACAGCCAACACAAAACACAGGACTCCAAAATGAATGAGAGAATTAGACAGACAGACAGACAGACAAACATAAAACACACATCTAAGAACCAAATATGTACAATATAGAGAGACAAGGACATAATTATAATATATGATATACATACACATACATGTAGCAGTATAAAAATATTATAGACATTGAATTAGTAATACTACTAAAGCCAATTAGTCAATTAAGCATAGACTAAACACAAGAAACCAAGACCAACACCTCGTTATAATAAATCCAAGGTTTTCATACAAAGCAACTTAAGTGAGCTAAGTAGTATACTATAGGAGCTAACAAGTATTACAATACAGTACTTGGCATTTGGAGCAACTTAAAAAATTCATTAAAAACCCAAATTTGATTGAAAGTAGCCGAAACTTTCTAGACAACATAAGGGCATGTATATGTATCAGATAAAATTATAAAAATGAAGAATCCTCTTCTAAAATTTCTGATGAAATTGGACCAAAGACCCTGCACTATCGTATTGGGTCTTTGGTCTGATTTTGGAGCAACTTGACAATTCACTGAACATTATCCCAAAATCATGTGGAAAACCCCAGATAAATCTAACAGCTACAAACTCGCCTTCGTTTATTCCCAATTGATAAGCAAAGGTCTGCAATGCTTGTATCTTCTCTAGTAGCTGTGACTGAGTCAACGACGCCAACTCTAATGGGAATGTGACAAAGAGGAGGGAAAGAATAAAAGTACGTGCACATAATGATTTTAAAATAACAATTACTATCATCTTTCTTTGAAAGCAACAGTCTCAGATTATGCCTAGCTGGACAGTGCATTCTTTTAAGTCTGTCATGCAGAGCCATGCCAACAGACCAGTAGTTGTCATTAATTTATTATCATCACAATAAGACTACGCATGTCATTG